TTAAAACGTTTTTCTATAAAAATCTCTAAAAAAACCTCAACGAAGAAATTGGCTGACTCAATTTCTCTAAAAATTTAGCTATATACCAAACTTTTTGTGCTCTATCTTTTATTTATAGACACAAAGATAGGTTTCCTTAGCTAAAAGTGTCGAAATCGAATCATCGAATCACTTTTTGACTACCCAACTTTAGGCTAACAAAAAAAATTCAAACTTTAGACATTTGAAAGCCGTTTTGATGTGATTTTACAGAAAAATAATTGGCTTTTTTAATGAAATACATTCCCTCTAATAGTAGTGCGCACTACTATTTTTTGAACCCCCTCCTGGACCGCAATACTATTAGAGAGTGCACTACTATTAAAGAGTTTTATCATTTGCCAAAGTAAGACAGATATAAGATTTGTTCCAAAAATTCTTGCAATTCTTTCACGTACTCCTTTGGCTTCTTTTGACATACAGTTGTGGGCCGGCGAGTTGACAATTTGGATAGATTTGGGTCGACAAACTGGAGCTTGTGATTCATCTGGAGCTTGTGATTCGTCTGGAGCTTGTGATTCAACTGGAGCTTGTGATTCATCTGGAGCTTGTGATTCAACTGGAGCTTGTGATTCATCTGGAGCTTGTGATTCATCTGGAGCTTGTGATTCAACTGGAGGCGAGTTGACAATTTGTGTCTTGACAAACAACAAAAAGATGTTTTTGCACTTTGCACAACAATTTTAGATTTTTTGCTGACTTTTTTATGTGAAGAATAGTTAATAAATGAATAAAAAAAGTCTCACTTTTGCTTGCTTGAATAGCTTTAGAATGTCACATAAACATAAAGTCAAAAAGGTTTAGATGAAAAAGAAGCACCAGAAATTCAAATTTTCGTGGGTGCACTACGATTTTTTCAACCCCCTCTCGGACCGCAATACTATTAGAGAGTGCACTACTATTAAAGAGTGCACTATTATTAGAGAGAATACTGTTTTTCAATTGGTGCATTTGTTGGCTTTAAATAGAAGTACCGAAAAGAAACGAAAAGACTTTTTCGATTTATCTTTCTACAGTACTATTTTTTATCTTACAAATATTTGAAGATAGATATTAAAGATTGATTTAGATAAATATTGATTGTTTAAGAAGTAGATCTTATTTAAATTATGCTTTAAAGGAAAGAGGTGATAAAGTGGAGATTGGACAGCTTTTGGAAAACTTAGAAGTTGGGCTAGAACTGACAATTCTTATAATTCCTCTTTTCTTATCAAATAATTTCGTATAATTTCGTATAATTTCGTATAACTCCTCTTAGTTCATCTTAATTGAGTATTTGTCAAGTATTCTTTCAATGGAAACAGACCTTTCATTGGATTATTGTATTAAAGTAACAGTAACAAGGTAACAAACAAATTGTTTGTTCAATATTCAACAATATTCAACAATTTGTTCAACAAGCTCAATATTTTACCAATTGTGATACTACTCCTCGGTTTTTTAGGTAAGTCTTGAGGTGATTTGAAACTTTGTGAAAATGCTTGAATTCTAAATATTGGGTTGGTGAATTGAAAACCACGGGCTATTGTCATATGTGACAGTTTGAGCACTTTCTTCAAAAGAAACCCATTTTGGTGTCAATGGAAAAGTTGTAGAGAATCAAAAATTAGGCTTATATCCAAATTTTCAGAACGATTCAAAAACTGGTTTTCAAGAAATGTTCAAATTTACAAATTTTCACAAAACTTGCATTTTAAGCGAAACTACTAAGTGTATCTTTTTGGAAATTTGGCTATGAGCCTAATTTTTGATTCTCTACAACTTTTCTATTGACACCAAAATGGGTTTCTTTTGAAGAAAGTGCTCAAACTGGGACACTGGGACAGCTCCAGTCCTCCATTTTTGAGTCTCACACTTGTCTCACACACAAACCAAAATCCTACTACGAAAGAGGAATCCGCAAATTGCCTGTAAAATGGGCAGAAGTCGTCAATAATAATGGAAATTATTTGGAATGAATTGATGGTTTTATGCTGAATAAATTTTAGTTCAAAGTTCTGCAGTTTTCCATTCACCAACCCGATACATCTAAAGATTCGGTTGCATTTTCGAAAATCCTCTAATCAAACGAGCCATCGGGTGATAGACATGGATAAAAGCTGATAATGTAGAGGATGACAGAGTTGATTATAAACCAAGTTAAAGAGTTGCAAGTTTGTTGTAAGTCTCATGTTTCAAAGTTGAGAGAATGACGATCACTAGGATACAGTTAATATAGAAGTTTTCTGTTTTTTTTTTCGGATTGTTTACAGGTCCAATATAAGAAAGACTTTTCAACTCTGTAAACGATTGCCACTATTAGCTGATTAGAATTTGAATATGGTTATTCGAATTCTGAATATGGCTATTCGAAAAAACATTTCAATGAACCCAATCAATAAGCTACAATTTGAAACTAAAATTTTCAATTTTCAATTTTCAAAATTCAAATTGTTCTGAAAAGAAAGAGGGCAGAAAGGCTTTTCAGTCTGGTAGGCTTTTTTTCAAATTCAATCACTAATAGACAGCAAATAGGCAAATAAACTGTGAATTAAATACGACTGGTATTTAATTTTAAGCAGTCTATTGCTATAAACAAAAGGGAGCGTACAGAAAGGCTTTCTTTTCTGTCTGTTAACCTTTTTTTCAAATCATTTTATACGGTATTACTGCAAAAATTGATAAACCAAATTTCGCGTGAAAAGTCCAGCATAGCAAAAGTTTCTGGAACTTCCGAAAAACCATCCTTTACCCTAAACGGTAAGCTTTTTGAAGCGATAAAAATAATAAAAAATTGTTGCGCACTAAAGCGTTGAAACAATAAATCTCTTTTTGATGATCCGCTCGGTTCATTCACTCTTTTTTTTGCCGTTTCTCACCTTTTCACCGAAATTTATTCGAATCTCTTTTTGAAAGATGGGAATTTCTTTTACAAATCTTTTACAAAAAGGAAAACCTTTTACAAAAAGCACCATTGATCCGATCAAAGATGCGATTTATTTAACAATAAGAAATTGAAATTTTGAAAGCTTTTTAAGTTTAATCTTTTAATTTCTATTTTATTCTTTTCTTTTGTTGATTGTTTTTGTTGATAAACGAGTTCTAATTGGGCAATAATTCGTCAATTGATTCCGTGATCTCGAAAACCCCCAGGCACAAATTTACAGCTGAATATCTTTTTTTGGGTCACCTACAAAGCAAAAGAGAAATCTCTGTGGAAAGTGACGAGGTGTTCTTTGTGCGCGTCGAACTCTCGACTCTCAGATTACCGCTTTCAGAGCAAAAAAGGAAAGTCTGAGAGCGGTAAAGTGGTACTAGCGGTACTAGCGGTACTAGCGGTACTAGCGGTAATATCGGTACTAGCGGTACTAGCGGTACTAGCGGTACTAGCGGTAATAGCGGGAATAGCGGTAATAGCGGGAATAGCGGTACTAGCGGTAAGCGGTAATAACGGTAAAGCGATAAGCGGTAATCACGGCAATCGCGATAATAAGGAAAGTCTGAAAGCGGTAATCTGAGGGTCGAGGGTTCGACTCCGGAATGCGGTAGTTTTTTTGAAAAAATGTTGATAAAAGAACGAGTTTTGCATTTTCTAGGGTAATTTTCAACGCTGATTCCGAAAAATCTGGTTTCAGCCTAGGTTTCCGTACTAAAAAACGCAAAAAAATGCAAAAAACAAACATTTTTAAAATCTTTTTTCATTCCCAATGCCACTAGTTTTTTCAAAATTGACCAATTTTCATGTTTTTGGTTTTAAAATCTAGATAAAACCCTTGTGCATTAGAGTTGTACTCAAATTGTGGCTATTTGCCGTTATCGCCAAGATATGGCCTTTCGAAGAAGGGCACTTTTTACGTTTCAATTTTAAAAAGTCGATTTTTTTTCACTATTTTTCGATTTTAAAAATTTCTCTCAGATGGATTTCAAAGATCTTTTTAGATTCGAAATCAGCGTAAAATTCCGCGTTGAATAGTACATACCGTAAATACTTTAATCGTACCCCATCCCCTCGTACAGTCGCGTAGTCGCAAAAGATTTTTAGTATTTCATTTTTTGCAAAGCACCCGTACTTCCAAAAAATGCGTCTTTGGTATCAAAAAATAGCTGAATTTCAGGGCTATTTTTTGATACCTATTTGATACCTGTAGCATAAACCAGTGTCGAGAAAAACTCGTTCAAAGCTAGACTACGCAACACTCCGCACCGTCATTATGGGGGTGGGGCACTATTAGAGTATTTACAGTAGTCTTTTGCAGGATGCTCAACAAAGACTCGTGCACAAAAAGCCTGAAAACATACCGTAAATACTGTAATAGTACCCCATCCCCCTCGTACAGTCGCGTAGTCGCAAAAGTCTTTTAGTATTTCATTTTTTTCAAAGCCCTCGTACCTTCAAAAAATGCGTCTTTGGTATCAAAAAATAGCTGAATTTCAGGGCTATTTTTTGATACCTATTTGATACCTGTAGCATAAACCAGTGTCGAGAAAAACTCGTTCAAAGCTAGACTACGCAACATTCCGCACCGTCATTATCGGGGTGGGGCACTATTACAGTATTTCCGGTATGCAATCAAAATCCAACGGTTAACGCATTTTCGCGTGGATTTGGATGTGCATTGTGTCACTTAAGCAGTAAAAGTAAAAGTCAAAATTGAAAGTAAAAGTAAGTAAAGTTTCCTCAGTCTTTTTTTGAATCATTTCATTTCCTTTATTCATTTCTTTTATTCATTTCTCTCTTTCTCTATCATCTCATTTCTTTTATTTCATTTCTCTAAAACCCTTGTTACCCTCAATTTCCCATTTTGAATTTACTTTTTGTGCATTAAAATGTTACAAGAAATTTGATGACTATAAATCTTAACTTTTCTTAAATCTTAAAAATCTTAACGATTTTTCCTTTAACAGATTTAACCGTTATTTCAATTTTTATCGTTATTTCAATTTTAAATAAACTCAAGCCAATATAGATCTTTTTAAAGTCGATGAAGTCAAAGAAGCTGTTGCTGAGTGGTGGAGAAAAAGTGAAACGCTTTGACGACTTTATCGTCTTCGGCCGTTACGTGGGATTGTTCTGTTTCGTGTGCGAGTTCGTCATTCTCTCACAATGCGCCACGATGTTCTATTTTGTGTATGCTGGTGGGGTTTTTTTTTTCAATAAACTTCATCTCAACATTGGTACCAATTGTCAAAATGAAAACTGTCGTATTAAGTCGTATTAAGCTGCCTTTCTGCTTTCTGGACTTTCTGGACAGCTTAATATGTTCTGTTTTCATTTAAGCGGACCGTACTTGCACGTAGTCGAAGCGATCAAGTCCAAGACCAAGTCAGGCTACAAACCACTATAACTTTCTCTAGCATTTATATTTTTGAGTTTGCTTTACTACATTCGAAAGCTCTTTTGATTCTCTATTTTTTTGAGCTATAGATCGTGTTAATTGAGAAGATTTGAAGCAAGTTAGAAGCGTTTTTTGTGTGATAGTTCGTCATTTTTGTAGTTTATAGTGCTCATGTATATTTCCCAGTTTCAGAAACATTTCAGAAACAAAAATCTAACTCTAGGAGCCGCCCCACCAACGGAAACCCTCGTTTGCAATGGGGACGAGCGAACGCTGGCGTTGACGAACCACGCGAAATGTAATCTCGTCCGAATCGGCAACTGCACACAACCGAAAATCGACTATCAATTCAAATCGTTACATGTTGAGGTAAGCTCGGGAAATTTGAAATGGACTTGGATTTAAAGTTGTACTTGGATTTAAAGTTGTACTTGGATTTAAAAGTATTGGGTTGTCCAGTTCCAGTCCAGTGCTATTTTGTAAATTTCTCAAGATACCGAAATCAAGAAAAAGATATATATGAGTATCATTCGAAAGCTGAAGATCTCCTCTACATTTTGATATAAAAAGTTTTTGAATTTGTTCAGCTTTTGGGCAAATTGACTGCACAGAAGAAGAGGTGGCCAAAAAATGGAAAGGTGCCTTTGGATCAAGTTTTGGCTCCGCTCAAATTGAGTCAACCGTTTGATGTTTGGCCAATAGATATATGAATACAACTTTTTTTTAAATATAACAATTTCAGAGCATCTTTACTTTTCTTTTCTTTTCTGAGTGGTTATTTTACACCATAAAACTTGAGGAATAGCTAAGCTGGAATGGCTGGGATGGCTTGAGGAATAGCTAAGCTGAAATGGGTTTTTTCGAAAACGACCTCTCCCTTTGTGCAGTCAATTTCCAAAAAGTTGAATGAATTCAAAAACTTTTTGATTCCAAAATGTAGAGGAGATGTTCAGCTTTCGAATGATATATAACACTCATATACATCTGTTCGATATCTTGAGAAATTTACAAAATAGTAAAAACGGGCATTCATAACTGGACAACCCAATAGTTTAACGTGAATTTGAATGATTCATGCAGAAATCTGGTAATTTCTTTACTTTAGCATTCTATTGTAACGTTTTCTTTCACTAAAACAACAATATCGAATGTTTGAAAGGAAAAAGTTTCAATCAAAACGTCAGAAAAAGCACAATTACCGTATTCTCTCTAATCTACCCAAACTACGCAACCGCATTCAACTTTCCCTGCTACTTATCGTTGAACCGAGTATAGGTGGGCCCGGACAAGAAACTTGTTCGAATGTTATTGCGCCCCAACTCTTATCGTTCTCTCTATATAGTGCACCCCGCCGAGCCGAGTTGATGACTATTTTATCGTTTCCAAGTTTTCACAGAAGCTCAACACTCAAATCCCCCACTAGATCTCATCGTCAGCTACATTTTCCGACCCCACATCGATAGGTTCTGATAAGCGGTTCTCGAGATTTCGAGGAATTTAGGCGAAGCTCAGGCTGCAGTACTGTTAGAGAGAATATTGTTAAACATGGACTCTTTCCGTCTTTTTTAGTGTTCAAGTTTGTTGCTTTCGATTTTGTTTGTGAACGAGCGATCGTTCAATCTGAATCCTTCCCACATTTCGCTCTCATTATTCAAATTCGTGGAAGTAACCCTTTGGATTAAATTCAGATACAAATAACAGATAAACGTGATTAGTTAAACGACGTTTAGTAATAAAAATTGAAGAACGGCTGCTTCGTCTGGCATGAGCGCCTAAAACGCAATCCCTTCAATGATGATTTTAACCCCCAAAAAGGTTCAATCTTTATCATAAGCCAACGCTCAAATCAACCGTATTTTCTCTAATAGTAGTGCGCCGAGTTGGTGGCCGAGTTGATGGCAATTTTACGGTTTCTAAGTTTTCCCAGAAGCTCAACACTCTAATCCCCCACTAGATCTCATCGTCAGCTACATTTTCTGACCCCACATCGATAGGTTCTGATAAGCGGTTCTCGAGATTTCAAGGAATTTAGGCGACACTCAGGCTGCACTACTATTAGAGAGAATACGGTAGTAGATTATTATTTATTATTATTATTATACAGTTTACGTAATGCAAAATGGGCACAATTCTGTTAAATCCCGCAAATTGGGGAAGCTAAGGGATCTAAGTTTTATAAAAAAACTGTTTTAGTTTAGTTTTTCTTTGAATTTACATCAGTAAAACAGTAAAACAGTAAACGACTACGCGACTGTGCGTCCAAAATAACGTCTATACTAATGACGATGATTTTTGGACTTTTACCCAAGTTTTTAGGACTTTTTATCTTTATTTCGCAAAAAGTTCTTGAGAACTTTGTACTAGTTTTCAAGAAGAGATTCAGGGCTATCGAATGACTATAATAGTTTAGTTTTTCTTTGAATTTACATCAGTAAAACAGTAAAAACAGTAAACGACTACGCGACGCCTCTAATGCCTATAATGCCGTCGTCGCGCTTTAAAAATAGCTTTTAGAATTAAAATATCATTCAAAAGCTTTAAGCCGGTCAAATTGAAACTAATTTTTCTTTTCTCTTTTCGATTCTCATTAATTTTACTGCAAAAACATTCTTGTCTTTAAATTTTTAGAGTTTTTTTTTGAAAATGAAAATCGAAATCTTTTCAAGCGTAAAAATCACAACAAGATTCGATGATCGGCTGATTTTCGGGGATTTCGGGGCGAAAATTGTCCGAAAACTCATCGTTTTCTTTTAACAAACTCTCAAAATACGTAAAAAAAAATATAAAATCTTGTAGAATAAGGTGAAATCAATAAAAAATTTACTTATAAATAAAAAAGAAAACACGAAAATCTTTGGAAACGATCATTGGAAGAAAAAAAAGAAAAAAAAGAATTGATTCTAACGAGCAATTCAATAAACACAATTTCGGAGCGGATATTCTCCAATTTGAAAATTCAATCAATCAGAAGAATTCCCTGTTTTTCAGTTTAATCTCTTCTGTGATCTGGCAAAAACGGTGAAAAATGTGATCTCGTTGCAAATGATTGGAGTGCTCGTGGGAAGTGTCATCTTCGGGCAACTCAGCGACTCGTTTGGCAGGAAAACGGTGAGTTTTAGTGTTGTGTACGGTGTAAACAGTCATTGTGCATTGTCATTGTCATTGTCATTGTGCTTTTTTTCTGATTTTCATGTTATTTTATTAACCAATTACTCTTCAGGTCGTTTCTTTTGAAAATAATAATTAATTTTGACACAAATCCATTTTCATTTTCCATTTTCACTGTGGATTTAAGAGTGAATGAAAATGTTAAATGAAAGCAATCTACAATAAGATTTCAAATCGATCAATAGAGAGTCTTAGGCTGTACGCTGAGCTGTACGCTGAGCTGTACGCTGAGCTGTACGCTGAGCTGTACGCTGAGCTGTACGCTGAGCTGTACGCTGAGCTGTACGCTGAGCTGTACGCTGAGCTGTACGCTGAGCTCAAAAATTTGAACACACTCTTTCTGGTGCACTCAATTCGTCACTTGTCTCGATGATTGGAAAACTACAATAAGATTTGAAAGCTTATTGTAGTTTTCCAGTGATACAAAGTCGTCACTGGGAGAAAAGAAAGAAATGAGTACACGAGAAGTTTCAAGTTCAGAAGCTTCTGAAAAAAACATGGAAATTTTAGCCAAAGTACGTTGGGAAAACGGTAGAAATTTGATTGAAGCAAAAGAAGAAGTGAATTCGTCCGTAGAATCCATTGACTTCGTGCTGTCATTTACCACCTTTAAGACTTTGAAACATTAAATTTTTGACTTAGTTCTCTTAACTGAATTGCAATTTCATTCGAATCTTTACGAAGGTGGGACAAATGCTACCTTTTTTAGCTGGAAAAGGCCTTAGGCAAGGCCGTAGAGCTTCAAAAATGTTTCCATATAAGGGAATCATATGCGTAAATTTCGAATTTCGACAAATCAACCCTCCCTGACACGTCAAATTTGAACTAAAAGGCAAAAAGTGTGAAAAAAGCGTTAAGTTGCGGAGTTTTTGCCTTTTGGCTCAATTTGACGTCTCAGGGAGGTCTGATTCGTCGAAATTCGGAATTTACGCATACGATTCCCTTAGAAATATTTTTTGGAAACATTTTTGAAGCTCTACGGCTTTCCTAAGGCTTTTTCCAGCTAAAAAAAGGTGCGCAAATGTCCAGGTGCGCAAAAAAAAGTCGTATTTGTCTCACCCTCATCTTTACTACTTATTTTATACTTTTAAAAGTGCACATGATAAACTAGATAGAGAAAAGATAAACTTTTAGGCTCAATTCAAAGAACTTTCATCTACATTTTGACAATAAAGTTTGATGATTAACTGATCAGCCGATAAATTCTATTTGAATTCGATTTTCAAACAGTAATCCAACAAGGCTTGCATAAAAAGCTCAGCCAAAAGATCTCGATATCTCTGACAGCCAAAAGATTTCGATATGATTTATTGTGGATTTACTAAAAGGTTATCAGACGCCTGGCTCCATTAATCTAACTTTAAGCTCAAATTTCTTGATGTTGAGCTGTCTAATTTAAATAGTTTTGGTATCATTAGATGCGCCAAGTCTTTCTCTATCGATTGGTACAAAAAGTATTTAAATTGAACAACCCAACACTAAGATATTTGAGCTTGAAGTTAGATTTTCAAGCTCAGCCAAAAGATATCGATATGATTTATTGTGGTTATCAGTCGTGATTACTAAAAGGTTATCAGTCGCCTGGCCCCATTCTAACTTTAAGCTCAAATTTCTTGGTGTTGAGCTGTTCAATTAAAATGTTCTTGATATCTTGATTACTATCCGTATTCCCCACGAATGCTCGAATCTGGAAGATCTGGAAAGCCAACAATTATACACAAAAACGAGACACTTCTAAAAGTAAGGTATAAAGACTAGCGTTGCATTGAGTTACCGTTTTTGAGTTACCGTTTTTGATATGCGCGCCGCCCCTTTTACCATTGTCAATCTAGCTTTTAGCTCAAATTTCTTGGCGTTGAGCTGTTCAATTTAAATATTCTTTATATCATTAGATGCGCCAAGTCTTTCTCTATTAATTGGTACAAAAAGTATTTCAATTGAACAACCCAACACCAAGATATTTGAGCTTAAAGTTAGGTTGCCAATGTCAATACCAATGCCAGACAGGGACCATTAGCGTAGGGCTATTGAAATCTACCTAAGCCACATTGAAACACGAACTTTTTAAGGGTCCATTTGGTTAGATTTCTAATTTAAACATATTTTCCTTTGTCTATCACAGTAAAAAAAAGTCATTTCAGACTCTCCTCTTCGGTTTGATCGGCTGCTCGTTAACGCAAATCATTTCCGCTTTTGCGCCAACATTGGGATGGTTTACGGGGGTTCGAATCGCTGCCGGTTTCTTCCTTGGCGGATCGATTGCGTGAGTTTTAAAAAATTCGGCACTAATCACTGAAAAACAACTTAATTTGGCCAATGGGAGAAGGTTTTTTAATAAATTAAAACCTAAAGCATAATCGAGACCGAATTTCTAAAGTTTTAGAGGCTTAGGGTGAAAGAATAAGTTGAAAATGAGTTGTTTATCAAAGCTTAAGTTAGAGAAAGGATTGAAAACCTTTAAAACTTCAATCCTAAATCCAATTCGATATCAGATCAATAGAAATAACTAAATTTTAAAAGTTTAAAAGTTTAGCAATGGCTTTTGTTACTCTGATTACCATTTTAGAGTGTTCAACGTGTTTTGGGTGGAGAATCTGCCGACAAAGTCGAGGCTGTGGATCAGTATGGTAAGCAGGGAAATGATTTGTCAAACTTTTTTCTTTTCTTTTAATTATTGGGTTGATGAATTGAAAACCGTAACGTGAAAACGTGAAAATCGAACGTGTAATGTCACTAGACTTGAAGTGAATCTTCAAAACTCTCTTGCACTCAAATCAAAGCACAACAGTTAGTTTCGGAAGCCTTTTGAAAGTTGAAAGCAAAGTTGACGATCCCCAAAGAATGGCTCACAATAAAACAACAGCCAAATACTGCAAGCAGATTTTTTGGGTATTGTAATCAGCTTGTTTTTAAAAGTCTTTGACATTGTATTAGTAAGGTTGTTATTACCAGAATAGTTTTTCATTGGGTTGGTGAATTGAAAACTGCGGGCTATTGTCATATGTCACAGTTTGAGCCCTTTCTTCAAAAGAAACCCATTTTGGTGTTAATGGAAAAGTTGTAGAGAATCAAAAATTAAGCTTATATCCAAATTTTCAGAACGATTCAAAAACTGGTTTTCAAGAAATGCCAAATTTACGAATTTTTGACAAAACTTGCATTTTAAGCGAAACTACTAAGTGTATCTTTTTGGAAATTTCGCTATAAGCCTAATTTTTGATTCTCTACAACTTTTCTATTGACACCAAAATGGGTTTCTTTTGAAGAAAGTGCTCAAACTGGGACATTCCTCCATTTTTGAGTCTCACACTTGTGTCACACACAAACCAAAATCCTACTACGAAAGAGCATCCGCAAATTGCCTGTAAAATGGGCAGAAGTCGTCAATAATAATGGAAATTATTTGGAATGAATTGATCGTTTTATGTTGAATAAATTTTATTTCAAAGTCCCGCAGTTTTCAATTCACCAACCCAATAATTACCAATGAAATAAAGATATTCAGTTGATCACCTGGTCACCAAACATGGCACCGATCGCTTTGATCGCTTTTTATTCGGAATCGTGGGACGCTTTCTCGATCACGTTAGGATCGATCATGCTCGTTGCGGCGATATTGTTGGCGTAAGTGAGAGAAAAAGATAAAATAAGGACAGGAGCGGACCAGAAAGGCACCTGAGTGCACCAGAAAGGGTATATTTATGTTTTTGAGCACAAAGTAAACAACAGAATCTAGTTCTAAATCAGGTTTTGCTAAATGTTTCCAGAAAATTTTTCAAGTTTCAATCATCGCCCCTACCTCAACAACAGTTAATCGTTTTATTCCTTAAAGTAAAGTAAACTCAATTCTTTCAACACCAAATGAAAAAGTTGTGGTATTTCCATGCTCTTGGTGCTTAAAAATGCAAACACAGCCCTTTTGGTAGACTTGTAAGCATACCGTATTCTCTCTAATAGTACTGTACCCTAAGCTTCCCCTAACGTCCTCGAAATCTCGAGAACCGCTTATCAGAACCTATCGATGTGGGGTCAGAAAATGTAGCTGACGATGAGATCTAGTGGGGCATTAGACTGTTGAGCTTCTGCAAAAGCTTGGAAACCGTAAAATAGTCACCAACTCGGCTCGCCGGGGTGCACTACAGTTACGGTAGTTACCAGTAGTTACAGTAGTTACAGTAGTTACCAGTAGTTACCAGTAGTTACAGTAGTTACAATAGTTACCAGTAGTTACAGTAGCTACCAGTAGTTACCAGTAGCTACCAGTAGTTACCAGTAGTTACCAGTAGTTACAGTAGTTACAATAGTTACAATAGTTACAGTAGTTACAGTAGTTACAGTAGTTACGGTAGTTACAGTAGTTACAGTAGTTACCAGTAGTTACCGATAGTTACCGGTAGTTACCGATAGTTACCGGTAGTTCAAAAAGTATCCAAGGTGGCTGAATTAATAAAGTAGACGCTTCAAAAAAGCATATTTATTCTATCACCTCTCATCTCAGCTCATCTATTCTCATTGAATGAATCGGTTAAAAGCTGTTATAAATCTTTATCCGATTTGTTTTTTGGTGTTAGAAAGCTGTTTCTTACTCATGTAAAACATCTAAATATGATGATTTACCGGAAAGATTTTTTTCACGGCTGATTCACAAGCGATTTGCTTATTTTTTCAGGCTTTTCGTGCACGAGTCTCCTCGATGGTTGATTCAAAAGGGGAAAATCGCCGAGGCTCGAATCGTCATGCAAAAAGTATTCAAGGTGGCTGAATTAATAAAGTAGATGCTTCAAAAACGCTTATTTAATTTGAAACTCAAATTGTTTAGATGGATCGACGACCGGAATCCGGCTTCGATGAGCTCGAAAAAGTGCTCATTTATGAGCACGAGGTAAGAAAAGAAGCTTTTTAAGAAAAGCAGCTTCATTAAATCATCTCAACCAATCTGTTTTCGAAAAAACACCCATTTTAGACAAACTTCCAACCGCCAGTTTTCATTTGATTAGCTCAATTTTGGTATCATTCGATGAGGGAATCAAAAGACTCAGTCAATAATACAAAAGTTAATCAAATCAAATGAAAACTGGCGGCTAGGCTACGGTAGTTTGTCTGAAATGAGGGTGCCTTTTAGAAAACGGATTTGTTCAGAGGACTCTAGCTTTCAGCTCCTTCAAAAGCAACGTGCTAAAGGGAAACACTACTACTATTATCATCTCTTCTCAACTCCGTGGCTCACGATGATCACCATAATCTTATCGTTTACATTGTGAGTTTAGTTTTGAAGTTATATTCGATTTTGAAAACAATACCCTGAATTATTCTTAATCTGAACAGATTAAGAAAATTAAAGGAGAAGTCTTGTAAGCTCTTGTTGAGCTCTGCAAAGCTTGTTGGCTCTGCAGCCTTGTGGCGCAAGCTCTTGTTGGCCTCAAGCTCTTGTTGAGCCGCAAGCTCTTTTGGTTCAAAGCTCTTGTTGAGCTCTGCAAAGCTCTTGTTCAATAAAAGCTCTTCTTATTTCAACTCAAGGGGGGAAAAAGAGAATTTTCCTTGTAATAAAACGTTGTGGTTCATTGATATTAATCAAAAATCCGTTTACAAAAAGTATAAGAACTTTTGGGATATTCTATAGTTTTCTTAGTCTATTCTATAGTCTTAAAAGGCACCCAAGTTATTAAAAATACGTCATTAGTCATTAGTACGTCATTAGTACGTCATTAGTAAGTCGTTATTTAAAAAACCGTTATTAGTACGTCATTAGGAAAGTCAAATCGTCGCGAATGTGTTAACGATCATTGAAAATTACTGAATCAAATAACCGATTGAGTTGAAAAACTTATGCACAAGTGAGATAGGTAAAAAGTTTTTGTTTTGTTGCATAAAATTTTTCTACTTGAGCTGATCTTTGAGTATTTCCGTAAATTAAATCTCTTCTTTATCGCTTGTTTCTTACAACTTTGACCAGTGAGGACAACTTTGACTAGAAAGCTTTCACTTTTTCATCCAAAATTTTCAGCCTATCCATTTCGATCATCAACTATGGTATTATGTTTAATTTCGAGCAAATGAGTGGCTCGATCTATATGAATATGGTCTACACGGGTTTGATTCGGTTTGTAGCCTGTTTTCAAGCGTTTTACTTATTTCAATATAGACTTTTATTCGGCAAATGAATAAGTAGATCAGCAAAATTTGACACAGAATAGAAAAGAGGGGAAAATGAAAAATTAGGTTGTTCGGAGATAAACGAGCGTTTCCACTGGTTAACTTGATTTTGAAGCCATTTCCCGTATCTAATCGCCTTTCCAATGGAGATGCTCATCAATAGTAGAATTTGAACATACAAACTGTTGAGCAAGTTCAATTTCAATTTTCTCAATTTTCTCAATTTCTCATCACTTTCATCAACAGATATTTTTTCTGTAAAAGAAATTTGAGAAAATTCTTTATTTTTGAGATTTCCATGATTGAAGCAGAGATGGTAAATCGTAGAGTATGTTCCTGGCGAGTAATGCTTAATCAAGCAGTTAATAGTCTCCGTTATGTTCTTGTTCAACTAAAGTGTTTTCTAAACAGTGTCCCTTTCTCTTTTTGCCGTAAAACGGAAAACGGAGAGCAACGATCGCTTGGTTTGGCCATTTAGCCAAGACTTGAGGTCACTTAGCTTGAAACTGCGAAATTCTTGACCCCATCTTATTGGAACCATAATGAAATCATAATGGAACCATATTGGAACCATATTGGAGCCATAGAACCATATTGGAACCCTATTGGAGCCATAGAACCATATTGGAACCCTATTGGAGCCATAGAACCATATTGGAACCAAATAGAACCATATTGGAGCCATATTGGAGCCATATTGGAGCCATATTGGAGCCATAGAACCATAGTGGAACCAAATAGAACCATATTGGAACCATATTGGAACCAAAAAGACAATTATTGACATTGACAGTTACAGCCACTCCAAAAACATTTACCTTTTCCCCTTTAATGTCTCCAAAATCACAAAATCACAAGGAGATTAAACCATCGCTGGAGAAATAATAAACCAATATTTTGAAACAGCACTTCTCAAAAGCAAAAAAAAATCTGAAAATCTCTCTACGAAAGTTTTCATATCATTTTTAACACCTTAATACTTAATATTTTTCTAGCTGGATCTCCAATCTGACTTTCGCTTGGTTGGACTATCGCTACAAATGGTGTGGCCGGAAATTCGTGCACTGGTTTGGTCTCCTTTTCATCGTTCTTCCATTAGCCCTCGTGATTTTGGCGCATTATTGGAGTGAGTTAAATTGAACAGCTCAACACCAAGAAATTTGAGCTCCACTCACCTTTAAATTCTAAAATTATCGTAAAGATCTCGCTTTTGCACAAAATTAAGCCAAAAAGAAAAAGAAAATGAATTAATAACTCAATTAAGCTTTGGTAGTTGCTCAGGTTGAAACTTGCTCATTGAGGCTTTGAAATATCAATATTTTTAAAGACAAAGGATTCATTGAGATCATAAATGGGTAAATTCTAATACTGGAGATTCGTAAAAGCTTGACAAAGGCCCAGAATTTTCAGATCTATCCACTCAATTGAGCTTGTACATTCGACTATCGATTCTCGTGGCTGTCTCAATGACGTCACAGGTGAGTGAAGCTCATTTCTTGGTGTTGAGCTGTTCGATTCAAATGTTCTTGATAGCATTGGATTCACCAAATCTTTCTCTGTCGATTGGTACAAAAATTATTGAAATTGAACAACCCAACACCAAGAGATTTGAGTTGAAAGTTGGATTGCCAATAGCGCGTATCAAATCTCTCTAAATTCTTTGCAAAAGTGCTTATTTCAAAGTTGTTAGCCTCTTTAGAATTTCTAGAATTTCTAGCTTTGGCGAAACAGTAATGGATTGAATATTTGCGCACTCATTTCTTCAGATCTACATCTCGGCCACAATCCTCTCGAATGAGCTCTTCCCGACTCCAATCCGAAATCTCGCCTTCTCATTCCAGTCGCTCTTCAATCGTTTCGGCGTCGTTCTGTCGCCTTTCGTTTTTTATTTGGTTGGTAGAAATTTTGGTGAAAATCGTTTACTTTTCGACGTCATTGATTGACTTCAAAACTGAAACTTTGTAAACTGTAAACATCTCTTTGTAAACTATTGGGTTGGGGAGAATGAGTCGGCGCCGAAAATGAAAAAAATGTCTAAAACTTCTATTCGACTTCGTCAAATAATATGCGTTTGATATGAGTAGAATGGTTAACTAATTCTCTACAAAATCACATTTAAAAGAAAATTCAAACAGCGCCTCCGCTCAAGAAAAAGCCATTTTTTCACAAAAACTACAAACTGTGATCTAGAAAAAACCATTGATGGGATCTTCCTGCAAATTTGGCAACTTAAGTAATTGAATGTGCTCTATCTTTTTTATATAAACACCAAAGAAGGTTTATGTGAAAGAAACTGTTCAAATGATGAGTCGGACTCTTTGCCATTTTAACCAGCTGCGTTTGGAAGTTCATAAACTCCACGAAAGAAAAGCTTTGTGGAATCTCTCAAAAGTGATTTTGTAGAGAAATAGTGGATCCTTTTGATGAAAGCAAACGTATGTTTAAAGAAGGCTTTATGTGTGCAAAAAGTCCCTTTAAAGTTCGGCGCCGACTCATTCTCCCCAACCCAATATAAACATAGCTTTGTAAGCTATAAACGTCGCTTTGTAAACTTTAAGCATCGCTTTGCAAACTGTAAACATCTCTTTGTAAACTATAAACATTTCTTTGTAAACTATAAGCATCTCTTTTTAAGCGTCGAAACTGATTCCGTGCCTAAAAGCGAAAAATAGCTTTGCTTTGCTTTGCAAATTCAAGTCCTAACCTCATTGTGATCATTTCAATACTATGTAAAAGTTGCCTAAACTATTAAAACACTGAAAAAATTGTCTAAAACACTATGCAAACTATTTTGGCAATGATTTTACCACAATAATCCAGGTTGACTACTGGGTGGCTTTACCGTTCGTCGTGATGTGCATCACCGCCTCGATCGACATTGTTACATGGCATTTCTTGCTGCCCGAGACGAAAAATCAGCCAATGGTCAGTGTTTTCAAATATTTCGAATATGATTCTCACCAAAAGCCGTGTAAAATTCGTTTAAAAACCCGTTTTTCAGGTGGAACACATGCCAAAGACGAAGAAAAGAAACATGGAAAAAGAGCTGCGGCTCGTTTCGAATGCAGCTTAAAGAAAAGAGACTTTTGGAGAGCTTTCTGATCAGCTTTTGCACAGAAATTCAATAGACTTCAGCAATAAAATTTGGAGTAAAAATATAGAAATTTTTTGCTGGAAAGTGCTTCCCAAATGGCATTCCTTTCGACGCTAACTTTTTAAGATGATAATTTTTGGTTAATCCAAGAGTTTAAGGATGAAAAGGGAAAGTAAACTGGCAAAAACTTGAAGAAAAAAAGCAAAAACGAAAATGGATAAATTTAGAGCTTGCTTGCGGATGTGATCGTCCCGATTAGTTACAGTTTTTGTCTCACTAATTATCGCAACTTTGAAACACAATAATCTATTTCGCACAAAGTTTCTATTTCATTAATTATTTTACAATCAGTATGATTTCAGTAAGATTCAGTATCAATATATAGGCAATATATTCAATTTAGTTCAGATATTCACTTGTTTTGGTATCTAATGTGATCTATCTTACTTATTATCCGACGCAAAGTTTGTGTGTGTCGGTTCACTTCATATATATGTCGTATATGTGTATTACGAAATTCAGCCGCTAACGAATGAGGGTATTTCCGGGCATCCAATCAAAAAGTCACCCACATAAAAAATGTTCATAATACATATATTTTATAATAAATTTTTGAAATTGGCTCATTTGGTTCAGTAGAAAAAATTTTTTGAGCCTCCAAAGTTTAGGTTCAAAAATGCCCTAAAATAGCTATAAAAAATTTTCTACTCAGCCAAAAAACTTGCCTAATAGCTCATTTTGTAGCGAATTTGATGTATTTTCTGAAAGTAAAGCCATCTAAAACAATTTTTTGTTGAAAGTAGGAGAAAGAGGGCGAGGAACAAATTCAGGGCAATTCTCAAATGTGAAAACAGCGACCGAGTTCAACTGAAGTCGTTCCTCGGCCTCTTTCTCCTAGCTTTGAAAAACAAATGTTCGATATAACTTTACGTTAAGAAACTACATCAAATTGGCTACAAAATGAGCTATTAGGCAAGTTTTTTGGCTGAGTAGAAAATTTTTTATAGCTATTTTAGGGCATTTTTGAACCTAAACTTTGGAGGCTCAAAAAAATTTTTCTACTGAACCAAATGAGCCAATTTCAAAAATTTATTATAAAATATATGTATTATGAACATTTTTTATGTGGGTGACTTTTTGATTGGATGCCCGGAAATACCCTCATTCGTTAGCGGCTGAATTTCGTAAACGGCTACGACATATAGGCAATATATTCAATTTAGTTCAGATATTGACTTGCTTTGGTATCTAATGCGTGATCTATCTTACTTATTATCAGACGCAAAGTTTGTGTGTGTCGGTTCACTTCATAACTCGAGTCCCAATGGGTATTTTGGTCTGATTATTTTGGGACAATATGTAATTGACTACGGCAATTTTCCCTGTCGAATCAGAATGGCAAAAATCTTTAACAGTCTTTAAGAAAAGTTAGAAAAACCGGATTTGGCGGCGAGATCAAAGGTACTTTGGAAAGTACTTTAATGTACGCCAAGGGGTACTTTAAAAAATGAATTTTAGGTTCATTTTCTTAGAATATATTGGCGGAGATAGGCTTATCTTTTAGCACTAGAAATCTTTTCAAAAACTTTTGTATCTTGAGGAAGTGACGAAAGCGGAAAAGTTTAAAGGATCAGCGGTGAAGATCAAAGGGTTTTTGAGGTCAACGGGAAAATTTCCCTCTCAAACTCAGTTTAGTTATTGAAATTCATATTTAGTAGTAAATTGTCCGAAATTTAACAGCAATTCATATTTAAATTTGACATGTAAATTATGCAAGGGCTAAAATCGGTCGGTTGAGGAGAGAAGTTCTATTAGCCGAGCAAATCTTCGCCTAATACTCTTGATTTTGAAACAACCAAATTTTCATCTACAAACTAGTTTATTTTTGCCAAAAGCATAGTTTCCTAAGGTAGGTGATACCTCGGAGGTATGGGCATGAGGAAAATAGCACTAAAATTAGTACAGGAATGAGGTATGGTGATACCTCGGAGGTGTGGTGATACCCAAGGTATGATAAAAAATCGGCGAATTGTTTCGCTGAAAAGATCAATAGGAAATTAGTGTGTATAGAAAAATACCGTAGTAATCCGAGCTGAGCACTTGTTTCTGACCAGCTCCAAGCGGAGTTCCATATTTTGTAACGGCGACGGAGAGCTGATCGGCAACCTTCATTCCTTGGATCCAATATAGCAATGAAAAGGGTTAAGTAGTGATTTCTGTGTCTAATTGACGAAAATTTGACTTATTTATATTAAAAAATGGCACAATAAAGCGAAATGAGTAAAGAAAACAGCACTGAAATCAAGAAGAAACAAAAAAATAACAAAATTGGTCTAAAAACAACAAAATTTTTCAATTCTCATTCTACATTAAACCCGTTTTATTGTGGATGGCAATGGCCATCACTTCGATTTGCACACACTGAAGAGATTCGATGTTTTTTGTCGACAACACTTTGATTCTTGACTTTTCGAGAGCTGGCAGGGTCGACTCTGTGTGTGATGCCGTGACGAAGATTCCAATCATCAATCTGGAATTGAATTTGTACGATCTGTATCGTTACAGATAGTACATATCGTACATATTGTAGATATTGTACATATTGTATATATTGTACATATTGTACATATTGTAGATATTGTAGATATTGTAGATATTGTAGATATTGTACATATTGCAGATATTGTAGATATTATCATATCGTACATATTGTAGATATTGTACATATCATACATATTGTAGATATTGTACATATCGTACATATCGTGCATATTGTACATATCGTACATAGCGTGCATATCGTACATATCGTAAATATCGTACATATCGGGCATATTATACATATCGTACATATCGGGCATATTGTACATATTGTACATATTGTACATATTGTACATATTGTACATATCGTACATTTCATGCATATTGTACATATCGTGCATATTGTACATGTCGTACATATCGCTTTCGTAAAGATCTAAGCTCTTCATAGTCTTCATAGCCTTTTGAATTGCTTATTTGAAAAGAAATTGCCTGAAGAGTACTATTAGGTTAGGCAAAATAATGATTTTTTGTCTATTATCTGAGAAACTTTCATTCCAATCTAATGCCTGGATTTTAAGCTATAGTGGAAAAAAAAGCTTTCTATCACAATTTTCAAAGGCTCTTTCTCGAGTTTCAGCCATCAGATTGAGCTAAAACTTTGTATAAAAATGTTAATCCCTTTGATAATTATTATACTAAAATATTAGAAAGATCTATGGTTTGGAATTTTGCAAAATTTTAAATAAAGGAGAGGCGCATTACATATTGAATGACCTAATAGTTACATCTTAATAATCTAGCAGCTCTTTGTGCTCAACAATGTAAACACACCCTTCCTGGTGCACTCAGTTCTTCATTTTTTGCTCAGCAACTTAAAATAACGAAATCAGAGCACCAGAAACAATGTGTTTACAGTTTTGAGCACAAAGTACAGGCTAGTGTTAATAAAACTCTAATATCGCTTTTGAAGTTTCAACTTAAACGCCTCCCAGGGTTATCTTCGTAAATTAATATTTTGATAGCTCACAGAGCTAACAATTTTGATTCTACAATGATTTTATAGCCTTTACAAAGTGTTTTTCAAATTTTAACCATGTAAAAAACCAACCAAACGATCCACTTCCCGTCGTCCTGATTGATACGCGCCCACCGCTGTTTCGAACATTCTAAAAACGGTTCTTTTTTCATTTCTATCATTCAGCTGATTTATTTGCAAATTTGACAAAAACCTCTTGAAATTTTGTTTTCTTTTTTTTGGTTAAAACAATCTTAAAACCAATTAGGAATTTAAGATTTTTCAATTTATTGAAGAATAAACAAAACTGATAAGTTTACTTAACGAACGGCGCCAAACACAAACCCTTTTCAGAGATAGAATTACTGAGTTTCAAAACTGATAAAGTTTTGAGTGTAAACTTAGACTGCGCGACACTTCTATAGGGGCTCTTCTATTAGAATATAAATAATTTGAGAGCCTTTCATTGAATTTCTTTAAATTTTGTTACGAATTGCATTTGATTTCAATTTTATGCAGATCAAATGACTTTGGAAAAAAGGAATTTGAAAAATCAACGAACGAACATTCAAATTCCAGATTGTTTTTGGACTTTTCGCTCTAATACCAATACATTTGAAACATGAGTTTTAAAACTGAGAAACCATTTAGAGTTCGGACTTTCCATATCCGATTACCTACCGTAAATATTGTAATTAGGAATTTAAGATTTTTCAATTTATTGAAGAATAAACAAAACTGATAAGTTTACTTAACGAACGGTGCCAAAAACAAACTCTTTTCAGAGATAGAATTACTGAGTTTCAAAACTGATAAAGTTGAATCAAGAAAAAAAGAAACAATTGTTCGCCGCTATTTTAAAAGCTTTAATAGAATACCCTTTTTTATTTTGTGGTTTTTATATCGTAACCCAACAATTACTATGACAAAACACACCGTAAATACTGTAATAATACCCCACCCCCATTGTACAGTCGCGTAGTCGCAAAAGTTTTTTAGTATTTCATTTTTTTTCAAAGCGCCCGTACTTCCAAAAAATGCGTCTTTGGTATCAAAAAATAGCTGAAATTCAGGGCTATTTTTTGATACCTAAGCGCGCATTGTAGCATAAACCAGTCTAGAGAAGAACTCGTTTCAAAGACTAGACTACGCAACACTCCGCACCGTCATTATGGGGGTGGGGTACTATTACAGTATTTACGGTAGGTATTTTACACTTTTATTCGTGCAGGGATTTTTCAAGGAAGAGCGTGAGCAGGGCTGGCCAGAGAACGAAGTGTATGAGAGAAATAGGAAGAAAACGATAGCTCGATGTTTTTGGAGAACGATTGTTCAAGTGAAGAGAACGACGAAGAACCACTCAGCTCTTTCCGAAAGTGCAAGGCCTATTCAAAGGTTCAAATTGGAAGCTGTCAAATACGCCAAGGATTTTTTTATGCAAAGAAGTATCGAGTTGATCGTGCAATGCTTCGACGATGAATCGGACAAAAAAGCTTTTGCATCAAGAAAGCCAAGCAAAACGTTTGAAAGGAGGCGGGCGACACTTGACGTCGATTGAGCTGGAGAACGAGCTGTTGAAATGGATCAAAGAGAAGCGAAACGCAAAAATCAAGGTTTCTCGATGTTTGACCTGAAAACAAGCACTCAAGATTGGCTCACTCGAAGAATTCAACAACTTTGCGGTAACCGGAGGATGGTTACAGAAGTTTCTGAAGAGAAATGGATTCTTATTTCGGATTTCTACTTCTACAAAAAAGCCACCAAAAGACTTTGAGGGTGTCACAGTGAATTTTGTGATTTTTCTTTTGCCAATTCGTCAAAAGAAAGTATGAAATGATTTACGCTTGTGATTAAAATGGCAATCGATCTAATTGGATTGCATTCTTTGTATTTTCTTGTTATAATTATACCAAAATTTCTGAAATTTTGTTACCAGGAATCTATCACAAAAATTTTTTCGATTTCTAATCTCTGCATTGAAAAATAGAACCCCAGGGTTTCTATTAGAATAATTGCAATAATTCCTAAAGTTTATAACAAATTGGTGTTTCAAGAACACTTGTGGATTCTATTGAAATTTTGCAACTCCAACCTGTAATGCGTCGCTTCTCCGGCGAAGAGCACTTTCAAATTGCCCGCAAATTTCACAGGCATACCCAAATCGCCGTGTTTCAACCCGGCGGCCGCCTGCTTTTGACTCACGTACGAATAGGCGCCCAACAACAATTCGTTTTCCGTCATTTTCGTTCTAAACTTTGAGAGTTAGATACCAGCGTCAGCTACACGTCTTATTGTTTCAAGTTTATCAAAGATAACAACAGAAATTTTGGATTTGTTGGTCGGGAAACAAGTCTGGTCAAGTTTTAAGCGAGATTGTTACAAAAAAAGCAAATAACCAAATAGGAACTATAAAGGAACTATAAGGGAACTTTAAAGGAACCAAATAGGAACTTTAAAGGAACCAAATAGGAACTATAAAGGAACTTTACCGGAACCAAACTGCTGCAGATATTAGATTTAGATAGATTAGATTAGATTCACATAATTAGATTAAAAAGAGCTTGTTTCATAGTCAACAGACTTGTTTAGAAAATCAAGGCTGACAATTTGGTTAGCCTTGATTTGGGTTAATGAATTTTGAGTTAATAATTTTATAAAAAGTAATTAAAATTAGTTACCTCACAATCTCTGACGGTTTCTCAATCGTTTCATTATTGTAAACGTATCGAATCAATCGCGTCGTTCTCTCAATAATCTCCTCATCGCTCAGTGAGTCCATGTAGCGATGTCCTCGGCCGGCGATCCACGCCATCAATGTGTTCTCTTCCCAGGAGACTGTCTGGAAATATTACAGCTTCGTGATCTTAGAATGTTTTTATTGTAAAGACTATAGTCTGAATTTAGTCTAAAAACCGCAAAACATTCGATATTGCGTCTTCTTAACACATTCACGACGATCCGACCCACCAGTGGGCCGTACTAATAAATATTTTTGCTATTTATTTCGCAAAAAGCTTTGTAACTTTGTACTAGTTTTCAAGAGGAGATTTAGGGCTATCGAATGAGTGTAATACAGTCGAACTTCGATACAATGAACTGCAAGAGACCAGCCGAAGAGTTCGTTATATCGAAGAAAGTTTCCTCAATACTTCGGCTTTCCACTTTTCGACATCGTCGTAGTTGATCTCGGCAGCTTCCCCTTTTAGAATACGAAAAACAACTCCGTGACGCTTCTTGAATTTATCGAGCTAATTGACACTCGTTTGGAAATCGCTAATTCCTTCCAAGCTTGCCAACTCCATCGCTTTCTCTCGAAGCAGATCGCCCTTAACATATTCGTTTTGACTTCGCATTTGCTCCAGATAAGCACAGATTCTTCGATTGATTCGTATTTCCTTGTCTTCAATCGTGCTCTTTTCGCAGCTCCTTCTTCATCGATTGCTTCTATCTCTTTCTAAGAATTGTTGAAATTATTGATCGCGGCATTTCGAAGTCCTTGGCCAATTCATTCATTCGTTTCGAAGTCGATTGATCGAGTATTTGCTTCTTCAAAGCCGGATTGATCGACGCGTTTTTGTAGCTTTTTGCAGCTCCTCCTTCATCGATCGCTTCCATAATGGCCGATCTCTTCCTAAGAATTGTTGATTCCGGCAACTCGAAGTCATTCGCCAATTTGGCTGTTCCTTTCGAAGTCGATTGATCGAGTATTTGCTTCTTCAAAGCTGATTGCTTCTTCTTCGATTGATCGACGCGTTTTTGCAGCTTTTTGCAGCTCCTCCTTCATCGATCGCTTCCAATGGCCGATCTCTTCCTAAGAATTGTTGATCCCGGCAACTCGAATTTCGCCAATTTAGCTGTTCCTTTCGAAGTCGATTGATCGAGTATTTGCTTCTTCAAAGCCAGATTGATCGACGCGTTGATTTTCCTTGCTCCATCACCTAAAATATAAGATTATTTTCCAAAATTAAAGAATAAAAAGAAAACTTTACATTAAGCACATTTAAAATACAAAGTATTATAAGAAATCAGCAAATTGTCAGTCAGCAAAAGCAAATTTTCAAGTCAGCAAAAGCAAAAGCAAATTGTCAAGTTAGCAAAAGCAAATTGTCAAGTATTTCAAATTCAGTCAAAAAAATAGATATTCAATCAAAAAAGCAAAAATCCCATTTTGCTTTGTCCACATTTTAGCAAATAATTCATTACATGGAAATAAAATATACGGTAAAGTATCGAAAAAAATGTTCATTATATCGAAATTCGACTGTAGTTTAGTTTTGTCTTTGAATTTCCACCAAATTATCCGTAAAACAGTGAACGACTACGCGAGTGTACGCTCAAAATGTCACCATCGTGAATGTGTTAATATCTTTCACCTGTAAAGTGGTCATTTCCTCCTCAAAAATGTCGATATTTCGCTCTCGTCCGGGACAACCCTGAAAAAATATAGTTTTTTTAGAAAATAAATCGGATATTGTTAATTAATCTCGTCAAAATCTCGCTTGTTGTCGTTCACTTTGCTTCCCACAAACCCCGTTTAATACTTACAAAAGTTTAAGCCTTACTTATCGTTAGAAAAATACTTAAAAATTAAAATTCTTAAAATAAATCTTTGAAAAACAAACTTTTATCGGAAGTGGAGCAATCGAATGCGTGCCAGGCAACCACCACGGATTCTCCCAACGCAAGAAAATCTTGCACGATCCACCGAAACCTGGAAACTACGTGATAGTAAGCTGGCAAAAAAGTCAGCAAGTTAACAGTTAACAGTTAACAATCTGAATCATAACATCACTCACCAATAGCATCGATCAACTTTTGCTTGAAACGTCCGAGTGGTGGAGTGAAAAGAGTGGATGAGAATCTTTTTAAATGGCCCAAAGATGTTGTAACAATCACGTAGTCGTATTGAGTGGCAAGACGCGTTCCATTGTCCAGAGATAACTATAAGAATTGGACCATTTGCTAAAGATTTCTAAAGATTGCAAAAGATTGCAAAAGATTGCAAAAGATTAGAGCCTTTAAAGCGTAAAGCCTAGAGGCCGTAAAGCCTAGAGCTTTAAAGGAGCTTTAAAGGAACTAAATAGGAACTATAAAGGAGCCCTAGAGGCCGTAAAGCCTAGAGGCCGTAAAGCCTAGAGGCCGTAAAGCCTAGAGGCCGTAAAGCCTAGAGGCCGTAAAGCCTAGAGGCCGTAAAGCCTAGAGGCCGTAAAGCCTAGAGGCCGTAAAGCCTAGAGGCCGTAAAGCCTAGAGGCCGTAAAGCCTAGAGGCCGTAAAGCCTAGAGGCCGTAAAGCCTAGAGGCCGTAAAGCCTAGAGGCCGTAAAGCCTAGAGGCCGTAAAGCCTAGTAATCAACAAATTTGAAACTTCGATTTTCTCGCCGTCATACTGAATGTCCAGAAACAACTATAAGAATTAGACTATTTGCTAAAGATTGCTAAAGATTGCAAACGATTGCTAAAGGCCGTAAAACCCAGTAATGCACAAATTTGAAACCTCGATTTTCTCGCCGTCATACTGAATGTTCTTGATTCGATGTTTCAAGTGAATATTCCTTTCTGGAGATTGAGCCGCCATAAAATCAATGATTCCTAAAGTATTTATAAGATTAAAATTAAAATTCAAACTCCTTACTATACCTAATATCTCAAGTGTTCTTTCAAAGTCTCAATTTGCCGTTTCAAAACAACAAAACTATTATTTTTTTAAGGCTAGAGCAGTAATTTCCTAGTATTTTCTAGTATAGAGCAGTAATTTTCTAGATTCTTCTTGAAAATTCGAGTCTTTTCATTGTGAAAAGCTATCAAATCCAAAACCGAAAGCCAATTCGATTCCCTTGAGACTTTTCTTGCTATAAAAGGTTAAAATAAACTCCACCAATAGATTCAACGACCTTGAAAACCGCAGAGCACAAATTTTAAACACCAAATCTCCTTTGGATCATTTTACTTTGGATCACTAAATCTTCATGTGCAAAGTTTCTTGGTTTTCTTTGTGCGGCTGGCGTAATCGCTGGCGATCTGGCAAACCGCCTCGGTATAAGAGCCAACAACAGCTAACAGCCAACAGCCAACAACAGCCAACAGCCAACCTTTATATCCGATTTTCGTCGTCGTATACGAAACACCGATCGCTCCCCGATCATCCCAATCTCGCAAATTACTCAAACTTTGCTGGAAATTAAGAAATGATTCTTAGAAATGCTTTTTTTTAAAAATCTTTACGATTTTAAAATCCTTATTCGAGTTTTTCCTTCAAAACTTACATCTCCCCAATCCGAGGACCACTCAAATTCCCAATAGCTTCTGTACGGCCTTGACAAAGCCTCGAAGAAATTCAAGCGCTGACCGAAGATCTCGTTTTTCTGAATTTTCTTTACGATCTCAATATTAACAAAAGTTAAGTAAGTATTCGACAAAGAACATTTAATTTTAAACTAGAAATTAGGTGCTTTGCATCTCTAGAAGGCGATTTTATAAAATAAACGTTACAAAGTTGACTATTTTGACTATTATTCGGTGAAGAATAAAATTGCGCATCGAATGATACCAAAATTAACTCAAAATGTTGGTTCCACGCAAAGTTGTTGGCTAAAAACCTAAACCCCGCTCATTATGGGCGGGACTTAACCTTTTGCTTCATAACTTTGCATAGATATTATATTTTGAGTTAATTTTGATATCATTCGATGCGCAATTTGATTCTGCATCGAATGGTAGCCAAAATAGTCAAAATGGAAGGGTTGGTGCTGAGGAAAACACGAAAAAATTGCCAAATCTTAAATTGCCAACGGCAAAAAGATTGACAGATATTTTCATTACAATTTTACTATCAATGGTTTCACAAAATAAAGGAATTGGATTAGATTTGATTTGAATTCAAAACCTGAACGAATCTCGCGAAATCCTCATCGTAGAGCATTTTCATCGAGTGTGACCGGGCGATTGTTTGATTCATCTCAGCGAGTGTCCGATATTTTGTGTCCAATGGCTCGATGAAGTCCATGAACAGTTGGAAATCGCTTCTGAAAATGAAAATTGCTAAGAAATTCGAAAAAGCCTTTTGTAGATTCAATAGAAATTCGAAGTTTTTTGTGAAAAATATAAATACTCTAATAGAGCGTCGGGTAGTACGGGTAGTATCGACACCAGTACGTTTGTTTCTGCACGTTTAGATATCAAATTAAAGTAGAGAGAATGGGTGATTTTTTGAGATATAACACATATCTTTAGCACAAACCAGTGCTTAGAACAAACCGATTGAAAAATGACAAAAAAAAAGAGGCGATTTCAATTTGATACCCGTCAAATTGAAACACATTTTTTGAAACCAATTTCTCAAAGATTAAACCGTTCTTGAATTCTGTACAACACTACAAAAAAAAACTGTCAAAATAATTGGTAAATTTATCGTCATGGAGCTAAAATTAAAGACTAATACAAATAAAATTGTTTAGTGACTGTTGCTGGCTTTTTTTTTTGACTCAATTTGAAACAAGCTTTTTGAAACCAAGTTTTAAAATCGACAACATTCGAAAAATTCAATTTAAAGATCAAATATCTTTCGGTATCAAGAAATTTTTGAAAATTTAGACTAGCTGAAAGCAGTATAACGGTTTTTCATCGATTTTTCATCGATTTTTCATCATTTTTCATCATTTTTTAATCATTTTCCAATCATTTTTTCTAAGCGCTGGTTAATGCTAAAAATATGTGTTATATCTCAAAAAGTCACCCATTCTCTCTACTTTAATTTGATACTTAAACGCGCAGAAACAAACGTCCGGGTGCTGAGATATGAGAGGTTTTTTGAGTGTAAACTTAGACTGCGCGACACTTCTATAGGGGCTCTTCTATTAGAATATAAATAATTTGAGAGCCTTTCATTGAATTTCTTTAAATTTTGTTACGAATTGCATTTGATTTCAATTTTATGCAGATCAAATGACTTTGGAAAAAAGGAATTTGAAAAATCAACGAACGAACATTCAAATTCCAGATTATTTTTGAATTTTTCGCTCTGATACCAATACATTTGAAACATGAGTTTTAAAACTGAGAAATCATTTAGAATTCGGACTTTCCATATCCGATTACCTACCGTAAATACTGTAATTAGGAATTTAAGATTTTTCTATTTATTGAAGAATAAACAAAACTGATAAGTTTACTTAACGAACGGCGCCAAAAACAAACTCTTTTCAGAGATAGAATTACTGAGTTTCAAAATTGATGAAGTTGAATCAAGAAAAAAAGAAACAATTGTTTGCAGCTATTTTAAAAGCTTTAATAGAATCCCCTTTTTTATTTTGTGGTTTTTATATCGTAACCCAACAATTACTATGACAAAACACACCGTAAATACTGTAATAATACCCCACCCCCATTGTAAAGTCGCGTAGTCGCAAAAGTTTTTTTAGTATTTAATTTTTTCAAAGCGCCCGTACTTCCAAAAAATGCGTCTTTGGTATCAAAAAATAGCTGAAATTCAGGGCTATTTTTTGATACCAAAGCGCGCATTGTAGCATAAACCAGTGTTGAGAAAAACTCGTTCAAAGCTAGACTACGCAACACTTCGCACCGTCATTATGGGGGTGGGGTACTGTTACAGTATTTAAGGTAATTACCTAGTACTAATTAGTACTAGGTAATTAGTTAGTACTAATTAGTACCTAAAACTCCACATTTTTCTACCTGTCCATCGAGCATTTCCCTGTCGGATAAAGCGATTCGGTGAAATGCGCTAAATCTGACAATTCCCCCTCGATGAGCCCGAACTCAGCGGCGATCTTGTACAACGGATTCGCTTCTCCGTTAATAAACTGGGCACCCATTTGGAGATATCCACCATCTGTAGAAATTGGTTTTTTCGTTCGATATAGAATTCTTTTGATTAGTTATTAAAATAGATAGAATTAGAAAATCAAGCCTTTTTTCGGTGTGAAGGTTGATGTTTCAAGTTTACTGAAAACTAAAGAAGCACTCACGATATGGAATCGAGTGAATCCTCCCACCGACTCGATCAGCTCCCTCAAAAATGTCGAAATCTCGTAGCCCCAACTCCATCAACCTGAAATTGGATTTGTATTTTTAAAAGTCCAAGGCCTGAGTTCGGGCTCATCGAGGGGGAATTGTCAGATTTAGCGCATTTCACCGAATCGCTTTATCCGGCATAAGGTCTACTTTAAATAGATCATGAAAACAAGAAGAGGTAGACAAAGAAACTGTGATATTTTGTTATATGCTAAGTTAAATTGTTTTTTTCAAACGCACCTCCTCCCAGCCGATAGCCCGGTCATCCCGGCTCCAATAATCGCGATTTTTGGCGGCTCAATCTCCCCGGCGTGACTACTCTGCAAAAAGCGAGTTTCAAAATATAGCCTTTTTGTGAAAAGTTTGTTTAGTAATCTTGTCCGATAATATTTCAAATAATGAAAGAAATATTTCTGGTAGTTCTCCTAAAAACTCCTGTTGCATCTTGTTCTGAATTGTTTTTTTTGAGAATCAGCACAAATTCTCAGTAAAATACAAGTGTTTGTGGTGATGTGGCTGGTGATGATGGTAGTGGTTGTGGGAGCCATGGTGGCACCCATAATCTTCATTTACAAGGTATCAAGTTATGGTGAAAAAAGGAAAAGTGAAAAACTTCTGAGCACAAATAAACGCTTTTGACACCAAAGCGGTCACTTGCAACCACTAGAACTTTTAGGAAATTCGATTTGAAAACGTTTTTTATGGCACCTTGTTTATGGAAAAAAAAAACAAATAAACTAGCATCACGAGCACGGACATGGGCATGAACATCACGAGCATGGAGATGGACATGGACATCATGAGCACGGAGATGGACATGGTCATCACGAGCACGGAGATGGACATGGACATCATGAGCACGGAGATGGACATGGACATCACGAGCACGGAGATGTACATGGGCATCATGAGCACGACCATCATCATGAGCATGCCCACGATCACCATAAGAAGCATGGAAAGCATCAAAAGAAACATCATGAGCACCATGATGAGATTGATCCGGCGGGATTGGCCCTTTAAACTCTCGACTAAGATACACGGCTCTTAGCCAGTCGGCCATGGTGTTATTTTAAAGAAAAAATGTAAAGGCAAGCAATTCAGAACAAGCTGGGCAAAAGAAGCAACAGTTTTTCTTCTCTAGTTCGATATTTTTGATCTATAAATATCTATAAATAGCTTTGGATTATAAAATTCGAAAATCCACCATCATCAACAACTCGAAACACCAGAGAAGTAGCAATAAACACCGTGAGTTTGTCATTGCTGAAGGTAAAACTGAAAAAAAACAGTTTAAGCATATAAAAACTCAAATTTCCTAAGCTCAAATAAGATGATTTAACTTGAAATTCAAAAAAGGAAGTGCTCAGGCTTTGGAAAAAAAAAGTTTCAAGTTTAGTTTCAAGTTTGCCTTTGATTGAGATCAGAAAAAGACTCTTGAACGAAAGGGAAAGTACCCTAAAGTCTCGAGTATAAGTTGATCCGAGTATAAGTTCTGCCTTAATTTACATTCGCTTTAATTGCTTTGAATTTCTTTTTGTTGGGTTTTTATACATTTTTCTTGTTATATCAACTTTTATTATTGTTCTTGGAGCGCGGGATACTACAGGGTGACAGCCTATCACCATTGCTATTTGTTATGTGCATGGATACATCCAGACGATAGTGTTGAAGAAGACGCTGGAAAGGCATCTCTTTCGACCGTCGACGTGGACTTTGGCCGGATGAAGAGGCCAGGGAGGGATCCATAAGACTGAGCACCGGAGAGGAGCAGGGCGGACGCGCCGAGCCACGGCCAGGGCCAGGGCCGAGCCACGCCCGGAGCAACAAATAACAGCATAAAATTGCTATAACCCTCAATAAATTTACTTCTATTTGTTTACTTCTATTCGTTTACTTCTATTGTTCATAAAAAGCAAAAAAAGTTATGCTGCAGCGGGGTTCGAACCCTCGACACACCGCACCGGAGACAGCCGTCAATTTGCATGCGAAAACCAAACAGAACTTATACTCGCGACTTTAGGGTAAATTTTTCGAAAAATAAAGCAATAACGAACAATTAGAATAACAAAAAGAGCAAAGAAAAAACAGGAATTTAATTTTCAAATTTAAAACAATTATTTTTTCGAAATAGACAAACGTTATTCATCTTTGTTGCTCTTTTAATCCAACGCGATTCTCTCTTTTTTTTGCTGTATTTCAAAAAGAAGATCAAAAAAAGATGATAAGCTTGTGCAAAAATTGTATATTTCTTTGAAAAAAATGCTCTTTTCGTTTTTTTCGCTTTCTTTTGGTGGACACCACGCATTTTGTGGCCATTAAAATTCAGAAAGAGCAATAAGGTCAAAAAGGGCGATTATTGAAGCTGTAAATCATTCGACTTTTTGACAGGAATTGCAGGAATTTTTTTTGTTTTTTGTTTTTGAACAGCTTCTTTGTAATTTACTTCTTTGATTTTAAGAAAAAAAATCTATATTAACTTAATTATGAATTTAGTGAAATTGAAATGAAATAGGGATAAATTTAGATAAAATATAGTGGCAGCAACATTTAGATTTGTTTTGTCAACATTTATAAGCATCAGATTGTAACATTGCTTTGTAACGTTGCTTTGTAACATTGCTCACTGTAACATTGCTTGTAACATTGCTTTGTAACATTGCTTTGTAACGTTGCTTTGTAACATTGCTTTGTAACGTTGCTTTGTAGCATTGCTTTGTAACGTTGCTTTGTAACATTGCTTTGTAACATTGCTTTGTAACATTGCTCACTGTAACATTGCTTTGTAACATTGCTTTGTAACATTGCTTTGTAACATTGCTCACTGTAACATTGCTTTGTAACATTGCTTATTGTAACGTTGCTTTGTAACATTGCTTTGTAACGTTGCTTTGTAACATTGCTCACTGTAACATTGCTTGTAACATTGCTTTGTAACATTGCTTTGTAACGTTGCTTTGTAACATTGCTTTGTAACGTTGCTTTGTAGCATTGCTTTGTAACGTTGCTTTGTAACATTGCTTTGTAACATTGCTTTGTAACATTGCTCACTGTAACATTGCTTTGTAACATTGCTTATTGTAACGTTGCTTTGTAACATTGCTTTGTAACGTTGCTTATTGTAACATTGCTTTGTAACGTTGCTTTGTAACGTTGCTTATTGTAACATTGCTTTGTAACGTTGCTTTGTAACATTGTAAGATGCTGCACATCGATTACACCCCTGTGTAAATTTTTTTTTTCTTTAAATCAAAAATCCGAACACTACAAATTTTAAGTTAGGTCCAAAAATGAACGGAAAAAATAAAATGATCCGAAAAGCATCATCCAAAATTTCAGAATTAAAGGCGGCGACTTTGATGTTAGTGAAATTTCATATTTCATCGAACCATAAAGTGTTATATGTCATTCAATAGCTCTTTTCACGCTCTTTCAAAATGCTGAATTGAGTTTTTGTGGAATTCTATTTTTCCATGAAATTTTTTCCATATTCTGCGCAGAAAAGTCAAAATAATTTTTTTCACGAAAATCTAGCTGATAAACTAGGCTCAAAAAGCAAATTTCTGAATTCTACGCAAAAAGTTGGTCTGGAATTGTTTTTTAATTTTGTTTTTTGGTCAATGGAAACGCGAGCTCCGAAACCTAGGTTTTTTAGAATTGCGCGGTTATATGGCCCGCGCGCACCTTTGATGTTGGTAAAATTTTTCTTTTGTGTCAAATCATCAAGTGTTATATATCATTCGAAAGCATTTTTATGTGTTTAAACATGGCGGAAAGAATTTCCCGAAAAATTTGATTTTTTATTAGTTTTGTCCGATTTTATAATCTGGAATGCAGTTTTTTTCTGGTTCTGCGGTACTTGCAGATCTGGTATAGTCTAGAAAAAATTTATTCTATTTATAAGCATGAATTAGACAAAAAAAAGAATCACAATTGAACATTAAGCAAAAAGGAGGAAATTAAGATGTCATATTTCCATCATCATTGAGGAGAACAACATAACCGAGCCACTTGAGCGAGTTCATTAGTCGCTCTTCTGGTGGTCCTGTCTTGTTTCGAGCAAATTCAGATTCTAGCCTGCTGTGAACTGCCTCAATGCCCTCTTCGGATGCATTTCCGATGAATTGATGCTCATGGACAAATGGGCCAAGATGTAAGAGTAGAGCATGGACCAGTACACTTGGTCCAAAACCACCAACTTTTTCTAGTTCATCGGAAAGAATCGCTGTTTGGCAGCAATTTCTGGCTTTTGAATGTTTGCCTTTGCAAGCCAAATCTTTTATTTCTTTATCCGAAAGAACACTTTTAGTGGTTGAAACCATTTGAGACCATTTGTTAAACTCGCGTAATGCAGAAATGACCATTTGATAGGAACGGGAGGAAGAAACGACTGCTAAATCAGAAATCACTGAGGATCGACAGAGATTCTTTATATCGTTTTCGTTGAAACGAGCATAGATAATCCCATCACTCTTCCGATTCACATCCAACTTCCATTTTCGACAAACATCTTGGAAAGTCTGAGAGGAGCCTTCGAGTTTCACCAATTGTTCAAAAAGTTGGTTTCCAATCTTGATTTTTGCATGAAGTATTGGGGGAAATTACCAAACTTCGAGAAACATTTAATAGATTTTCTTTTTTTGCCTGCAGACCTTTTACTTTTGAAATCATCGCTTCCACCGAAGGGTCACTCCAATCAGCATATTATTGAAAATCAATTGAATCCTTATCCGCGGATGGTTTTTTGTCAAACCTCTTGTTGCACCATAAACATCCAAACGTCATCGCACAGGAAAGACCAAAATTGGTGTTCAAGAAAGATAGATCTCCACCGAGAAAAACCATATATCCGGCTTGCACCAAAGTCTCAAAGTCCTTCCAAATTCCCTTTTCCTTCAGCGAGTCGTAAGAATCTGAACCTTCCCAAGCTTGTAATGGCAGACAATTGCGAGACGAGCACGGTTTTTCGCAGATTAGGAATGAAATAGTTGAAATAACTCGGCCGTGTCCTTTATCGAGGGAAAAAATCAGCCGTTTTCCTCGCTCATCCAGCAGATCCAATCTTCTTCGCCGCTCTTCAACAGCTTTCAACACAGCTTCCAATCTTACTCCTTCATATCTGACAAACTGGTCCAGAGTCTTCTTGGCCTTTTTGATAGTTCGTTGTCAGCCAATGGTTACTCCTTGGTTTGATTGAAGAAAATGGTTTACAGATAATAGTCCTTTATTTGATAGATTGGCACTTTTTTTCATACCGAGCAGAGCTTCTGGAGTTGGAGGAGTCGGTGATTTGGTTTGAATATGTGAGGTTGAAGCAACAGAATCATCATCTTTTTGCTTTGCTTTTGCCACTAGACGGCGTTTTGACGATTTTGCTCGGGTCTTTTCTTTTCATTATCTTTCAGAATCTTTGCCTCCAGTGCTCCTTTCAAATGTGCTTTCCTGTTGAATTCTTTTTCTTTTTGTTGATTGGCTGCGGATCGTGATGAGCTTTCTTCTTTTTATTGCACAGGATTTGCAGGAACTTTCCCAAAAATTTTTTTAAAATTTTTTTTAAATTTTTTTTTATAAAAAAAAAAATTTTTTTTTTACTTCTGTAATCCGTGCATGTTGTTTTGATTCGTTTGGCGTCCATGTTCCAAGTTGCCACTTCTAGACTTTTTGGCTTCTGATGTTTGTCCCATCTGCAAATTATAACTTTTGTTTTGATAGTGTTGGAAATACGAATGTAATAAGAAAAATAATAATACGCTAATAATCAAAAAATAAATAATCGGAAAGCAAAATTGTCTGTAACTAAATGATTTTCTCCTGCGATTGACATCTATAACTTTATCATCTGTCATGCCTTTGGCAAGTAATTTATCGGTAATTGTCCTACTTGCCTTTGGCATAGTAATTTATCGAGTAATTGTCAAGGGTCTGTATTTGGCTGTGCACCTGGGTTGCCTACCCGAAATTGACAAATACTCTCAATTTCAACTTTCCTGGAATTGTAACTCTTTCTTCAAAAAAATTGCGTTTTTCACTTTTTTTAGAATAAATTTTTCTAGACTATACCAGATCTGCAAGTACCGCAGAACCAGAAAAAACTGCATTCCAGATTATAAAATCGGACAAAACTAATAAAAAGTCAAATTTTTCGGGAAATTCTTTCCGCCATGTTTAAACGCATAAAAATGCTTTCGAATGATATATAACACTTGATGATTTGACACAAAAGAAAAATTTTACCAACATCAAAGGTGCGCGCGGGCCATATAACCGCGCACTTCTAAAAAACCTAGGTTTCGGAGCTCGCGTTTCCCTTGACCAAAAAACAAAATTAAAAAACAATTCCCGACCAACTTTTTGCGTAGAATTCAGAAATTTGCTTTTTGAGCCTAGTTTATCAGCTAGATTTTCGTGAAAAAAATTATTTTGACTTTTCGGCGCCGAATATGGAAAAAATTTCATGGAAAAATAGAATTCCACAAAAACTCAATTCAGCATTTTGAAAGAGCGTGAAAAGAGCTATTGAATGACATATAACACTTTATGGTTCGATGAAATATGAAATTTCACTAACATCAAAGTCGCCGCCTTTAATTCTGAAATTTTGGATGATGCTTTTCGGATCATTTTATTTTTTCCGTTCATTTTTGGGCCTAACTTAAAATTTGTAGTGTTCGGATTTTTGATTTAAAGACGATTATTTTTGTAACCTATGTGTGCTGCCATCTTTATCCTTATTTCATTTCAATTTTAATGCATAGAAGTAAATTAAAATGTAAAAATGAAAGAAAAATTAGAGAGAAGAAAAGAAATGAAAATAATTCAAAGTGATTTTTACTTTTAATGCATTTACTTTTATGCTTAAATGACGCAATGGTTCAACGGGTTTTGTGGCAAAACTATAGCCAAATTTGGGGTAAAAATTGATGCCAAACATTTGGAAATACTAACGCCAAAAGCGGCTCTGTCGCTCACCGCTCCTTCCTCTATACGACACCAAAAGGGAAGTCTTATATACCGGAGTGCTTTGCCAGAAAGCGAGCGGTTACAAGGCCGCACAAAGAACAGTCATTTACTGGCTTTCTCTTTTGCTTTGTAGATGACTCAAAAAAAAAGATATTCAGGTGTAAATTTGTAGCCAGGGGTTTTCGGGGCCGGGGAATCGACTAGAGCTATTCATTTTATTGAGTTGACCAATTGAAAATCCGGTTTAATTGGTCTAAACTTTTAGATATTATTAAGCTTTTTCAAAAACGTAGAAGAGAAATTTTTTCGACCAAAAAGCTACCAAAAGTGAAACTTCAAAGGTGGAAAAATCTACTTTTCAACTTTTTTTTTCTGTAAAAATTGAACTCAACCATCGTTTGCAAAAAAAAAAATTGAACAAGGCATTTAAAAGAATTCAAGTGAAAAGATTTTTATCATTTTTATTCGACAGCTTCTTTTATGGCGCTTGTTAGCTGTGAGCTTGTTATATGGGGTGATTGTAAAGTCTCCCCTTTCTTTATCGACAGGGAATTCTCTACTTTCTCCGGCTCAAATGACACAATATTTCAAAATTTACAAGCAATAAGTACAGAGGCTTAAAATTGTAAAGTTTGAACAGGTTAGATCAAAAAAAGTCGTGACTCGGCGGCACTCGAACCAGCTACTTTCAGCTTACCAGGCTACTGTGCTAACCATTACACTACAACGCATTTGAGTTCCTTTACTCCAGAGGGAGTTAAGCTCCCTCCTCTCTGGACAATGGACAATGGACAATGGACAATGGACAATGGACACTTCTCGATTCATAGCCCTGGCGCTCGAAACTAGGGCTATGAAGACCTTAGCCAGCATTGCAGAGCCCATTTTTCCGTGGCCGGCAGTTGGAACTAGGCCAGATCAAAAACTTGTGCGCTGCCGGGACCGCGACCGTTCGCTTACCGGGCTACTGTGCTAACCAATACACCGCGACGAACTTGATTTATTATATAGACTATATATTATTATACAGAACTCCAGAGAGAGTTAAATAATAAAGTATTCAATAAACTATAATATTCTATAAACTTTCTATTTAAATAATTTAAATAATTCTACTTTCTATAGTTTTAAATTTGAAAAAACGGTTAATAAAGGGTTGTTAAAAGGCGAAAAGCGAATTTATATATATGTTTATTCTTCATGGGGGGGAAGAAAAAAACTATGCACAATAAAAAGGGGGAAACAAAGAAGTAAAGGGTAGGTAAAAAAGAAAAAAAGGCATTAAGACAAAAAAAAGAGGGGAGAGGGAAAAAGGGGGAAAAGATAAGAAAAAAAAAGAAATACGGGAAAAAAAAGGGGTTTTAAAAGGAAGGGGGGGCAATAGGTTATAAAAGTCTTGCGATAAGTCGCGATTTTAGGGAAACAAATGGCGCGAAGTATTATGTTAGAAATTCTCGAAGCTTTTTTGGATATGTAGTTTATGTGAGGATCAAATCTTAGAGAGGGAACTAACAGTATACCAAGATCTTTTACAGGATCATCGGTCAACCCTAATTGTAGGTCCCCCAATTTTAAAGGGATATGTAATGAACCAAATGTAACGTGTTTGCATTTTTCCGGCGCAATGTTAAGTTTCCAAAATTTACTCCACAAAAGGATCAGCTTATTAGCTTATTGGCAAGTCCATTGTTGTTCGACAAGGGCTACTTGAGGGATTGTCGATGAGAAATTTGATCGTATTTGGTATCTCTCGTTTGTATTGTTAGAAATGTTGTGATGTTTATGCATTCCTTTCAATGACGATGTTTCTATTTGACTTCTTATGTTTGGATTTTTTGTTTTTCTTAAGTAAAAGTTACTTCCAGCACTTCAGCAACTTTCAGCGTTATATTTAAAACTTTTCTAACAGCTTTTCGGATTTTTTAAATGAATGGGATGGGAGCCATATTTGAACCATATTGGAACGATTTGTAGAAACAATATTGAAACCATATTGGAACCAAATTGGAACCAAATTGGAACCATATTGGAACCATATTGGAACCATATTGGAACCATATTGGAGCCATATTTGAACCTTATTGGAACGATTTGTAGAAACAATATTGGAACCATATTGGAACCAAATTGGAACCATATTGGAACCATATTGGAGCCATATTTGAACCTTATTGGAACGATTTGTAGAAACCATATTGGAACCATATTCGAACCATATTGGAACCATATTGGAGCCACATTTGAACCTTATTGAAACCATAGTGGAACCATATTTGAACCATATTGGAGCCATATTGGAACCATATTGGAGCCATGTTGGGACCATATTGTTTTGATGCAAAATTTGATGCAAAATCTACGTGATAAACCGACTTTTTCTCTACTTGAACTAAAGAAATAAAGAAATTCTCTTTTTTTGATACTCAAGATTTTTTTCGCAATTTTTTCATAACAATGCCTTTGCCTTTGCCTTCTCATTATCATTTCTCATTATCATTATCTTGTATTCTCATTATCATTATCTCTCATTATCACTATCTTGTATTCTCATTATCATTATCTTCTCATTATCTTGTATTTTCGCAATAAATTTTATTTGACAAGAACAATCAAAAAAAGAAATGAAAAAAGTCACAAATGAAACAAAGAAATGCATGCAAAAATGGGCTGAATTTCTAGGGTTTTAAAAGAGAAATTGAAAAGGAATTGAAAAAAAGACAGAAAATTATGCAAGGCACAATTACAATATTTTACAGAAATCAGAGAAATCAATTTTCATTGAAATTTACAATTTTTGTGATCAATGTGAAATCTCCGGAAAATTTCGGGTAAAATTGTTTGTTTTTCAAATAAAAGTAAAAGAAATTGGTTCATTCTTGGGACTAATATGGATCAAAACTGAAAAAAAAGAGGCGTGGCTACTTTGCGCCAAACTCTGCGCCAATTTTTTGCGCATCTAGGCCTTTTGCGCATCTAGGTCTTTTGCGCAATTAGATCTTTTGCTCAACCCACCATAACTTTCTTCTAATTCATCCAATCTTTATGTTTTTGGTGTCATTTTGTTACACTTGTTGAGATCTACAAAATGAGACCAGAATCATAAAGATTGACCGACTTAGAAGAAAGTTATGGCGAGTTGCGCAAAAAAAATTTGGCGCAAAGTAGGGACCCCCAAAAAAGTGGCAAATAAAGGAAATTTCGTGAGATTTTCTGTGGGTGAAAAGATTTGGTCCAAACATTTTAAATGTTAAAAGTTGAATTTCAAAATTTAAGGCCTTGACTTTAGAGGTAAACATAAGTTATGTGTAAAAGAAAAAAAATTCGACATTGAAAATTAAAATCGCAAATGGTCTTGTTTAACATTGAAACTTGAGTTTTTTTGCTCAGCTTTTAACGATTCCGTTTTCTAAAAAACATCCATTATAGACAAACTACCGTAAGCTGCTTTCGAGTTTTCATTTAATTAGCTCAAATTTTTGTATCATAACCTTGATGACCTAGTGGTTAGCGCGTTCGTCTCGTGCGCCCTCGCGTGCGCCCTCACGGGTTCGATTCCTCTCTTCGATCGATGTTATCACCTTTCGGCTGTTCACTTTTCTAGTTTCGTATGAATCCCGTAGCTTGTCATGACCGACTGGCTAAAAGCCTTGTACCATAGTCAAGGCCTTGTATCATAGTCAAGGCCTTGTATCATAGTCAAGGCCTTGTATCATAGTCAGCCTTGTATCATAGTCGGCCTTGTATCATAGTCAGCCTTGTATCATAGTCGGCCTTGTATCGTAGTCAAGGCCTTGTATCATAGTCAGCAAGTCAAGAGCCCAATCCTAGCCTAGATTATTGGTTCTTTTTCCGTATGTATATGGGCTTTTATTTCTTTCCTACATTTAGGGCTTAGCGGTTGTGCTTTTGTAGTGTAACTATGTAGCTTATGTAGCTTATGTAGCTTATGTAGTTTATCACAATATAGAATAAGCTCATTGAATGAAATGTAAATGATCGAAAGCGTAATTTGTCTAAACGAGATGCTTTTTTTTAAAAAACGGTTGAGGGTTTTTCACTTCATCTGGGTTTTTGACAATTGAGACAGCTTATGACAGCTTATTTTTGGCAAATATCTAATCATTATTTAATTAAATTCTCAAATTCGCCTTATTTTCTACTGAAATTTGCCATCTCTTGTCTGGTAGATCGTTTGCGGATTCGAGCCGGCCGGCGCCGTGATCACGACAATATTGCCCGGGTATGGACCTTGGGGATTGAGGACATGTTGCACCTGTTGCACCTGGCTTGTTCCTTGCTGAAAATTGAATTGAATTGAATTGAATTGAGTTGAATTCTTCTTAATAAGTTACGTTTTTTTACAAGTAACTTGTAGATTTGTTTCTCATAATTAAGTCATTTAAAAGTGACTTGACTTTTAAAAAATTTGAAACTCAATATTTTCAATTCGTCTAAAAAATTTGAAAAACGCGAAAAACACGGAAATAACGCTTTATTTCCGTGTTATTTCTTATCGTTTAAAGTAAATCTTGTTCTTTTGAATCAAGCGTTTAAAAATCAATGAAAAAATAAGCTTTAAAAGTTAGAAACCGTTTAAAAGTCAAGTAAAAGTCAAAAATCAAGACTTTTCTTAACCAAAAACAGTTTAAAATCAATTTTAGCCTTGAAGATCGTAAAACTTGACCAGTTTTATCTTTAAATCTCAAATCAAGCTCAAGAATCTAGATTTTTTCACCAAAAAAAAATTCCTTTCCCACCTTTAACTGGGCCACAGTTGGCGGTGGCATCATTTTCGTGACGGTGATCATTTGCTGTTGGCCGGGTAGTTGCACTTGGTGGACCTGAAAATGAGAATGGATATTACTTGGGATATGATAATTCTGTATAATAATATGTAATCTATATAATAATGTAATAATAATAACGTAATAATATGCAATAATGGGATATAGTTTACTATATATAAAGCAGAAGAGATGTCTGTCTGTCTTTCTGTGCGCAAACGTGACGCTCCGTAATTACGTCTGTCCGTCTGTCTGTCCGTCTGTCTGTCTGTCCTTCCATCCGTCTGTCTGTCTGTCTTTCTCGTCCGTCTGTCTGACTGTCTGTCCGTCTGTCTGTCTGTCTGTCTGTCCGTCTGTCTGTCTGTCTGTCCTTCCATCCGTCTGTCTGTCTGTCCGTCTGTCTGTCTGTCTGTCTGTCTGTCCGTCTGTCTGTCTGTCTGTCCGTCCGTCTGTCTGTCTGTCCTTCCATCCGTCTGTCTGTCTGTCTTTCTGTGCGCAAACGCGACGCTCCGTAATTACGTCTGTCCGTCTGTCCGTCTGTCTGTCCTTCTGTCTGTCTGTCCTTCCATCCGGCTGTCTGTCTGTCTGTCTGTCCGTCTGTCTGACTGTTTGTCTGTCCGTCCGTCTGTCTGACTGTCTGTCCGTCTGTCTGTATGTCTGCCTGTCTATCTGTCTGACTATCTGTATGTCTGTCCATCTGTATGTCTGTCCCTCCGTCCGTCTGTCCGTCTGTCTGTCCGTCTGCCTCCGCGCAAACACGACGCTCCGTAATTACGTTTGCTCTATCGGCTAAAAGGCAAAGTATTCAGCTTTTGCGCGCGATATTTTGCTCCCCGGGGTTTTCAGCTATGGGAAATATCTCTTTTAGGTCCATTTTTGAAAGGGGGCGCGACTTAAAATGAGTTACGGTAGTTTTAGTGATTTGAAAGTTGTCGTTTAATATAATAATTGAGTACCTGTTGCCCAGGCTGCCCAGTCACGACATATGTCCCAGCGGAGGGTCCTGGCTGTGGCTCGGGTTCTCCGTTCGACATTAAACGTTGCTGAAAAATCAATTTTTTGTTAATTCAAAATCTTTTTTTTATATTGTTTTCATTGTTTTACATTGTCTTTATTGTTTTTTACTGAAGTTTTTGCTGAAGCTGAAGCTGAATTTCTCATAAACCATTAACAAAATCGGCTTAACCGTGAACCATACGTGAATTTAGCACTTTTTTTAAGGCCGATTGGGCTGAAAATTTGTACCAAGGGGTTTTCGGGGTCAAAGAATTCGAATCCGTTTTCAGTTTTTAAAGAAAACAGCTCTGTTTTTAGATATTTTATCCGGTTAAGAAAAGTGCTCTATTTTTAGATATTTTCTAAAAGCCAAGTGCGACATTTACTCAAAAACTAATAACGAATTCAGATTCTCGATTCCAGAATGCCTCGGGTTACAAATTTTTAGATCTACAGCTAACATAGATAGTCGAAAACGGCAGCTAAGTAAAAAAATGGCCTTTTCGCAAATGTACTAAATGAGATTCATTTTCCAAAGAACAACTAGAAGTCTAAAGTTCATAGTTGATGTTTACAATAGTTGTTTCATAGTTGTTTACAATTCATAACCTTATTTGCTTCATAATAGGAACCGTATTGGAACCGTATTGGGACCGTATTGGAACCTTATTGGAAACGTATTGGAACCTTATTTGTTGCATAATAGGAACCGTGCTGGAACCGTATTGGAACCTTATTTGCTTCATAATAGGAACCGTATTGGAACCGTATTGGAACCGTATTGAACCGTATTGGAACCGTATTGGAACCTTATTTGCTTCATAATAGGAACCGTAGGCAGCTAAACAGAAAAAAATAGCTTTATCGTGAATGTGTTAACATTGAAATCGAACTTTCAAACCAATTCAGCATTTATCAAAGTTTTAAATTTAGTAAGCCTTTGATTGAATTGAAATTTCATATTCATCGCAATAAGTTTAGAATTTTCTAAAATTAACTAAAAGCCCCAACATCTCGTAAATTCTAGACAGATTGAAACAACAGTTTTCAAAATTCTTAGCTAAAAGGATCGAGTCAGTTAGTAGTTATGATATTAGAATGTCTAGAAACTTTTTTCGTTCGGCTTTTTTTAACCATTTTTCAATCATCTTTTTCTAAGCGCTGATTAATGCTAAAAATATGTGTTATATCTCAAAAAATCAGTCATTCTTTCTACTTTAATTTGATACCAAAGCGAGGAGAAACAAACGTACTCGGGTTGAGATATGAGCGTTTGTTTGAGAGTCAACTTAGACGCGACGGTCCTATAGGAGGCCGTTCTATTCGAGTTTTTACGGTATATGACTACGGTACCGTACCAGGTAAAGGCACCAGTTTATAACGGTTAACTGTACTGAAAACGGTCAAAAACAAACGTACTCGTGTTGCGATATGAGCGTTTGTTTGAGAGTAAATTTAGACTTGCAAAATTTCACCTGCATTTGTTGCTCTTCCATTTGCCGTTTCCTCAGCGTTTGTTGTGCTTGTTGTGTCCTTTTCATCACTTCTCTCTCAATCGACGACAACGCATCATAATCATCTTGTACGTATTCTGGTTGTGGTGTCCCTTTCGAGTCTTCACTTCGTGCTTTCTTCGGTGTATACCGCTTCTGATTGTAGACCTTAAACTAGAAAAATCGGCGATTTGGAGTTAGAGGAAGCGTTTGAGAAAATTTTTCAAATTGATTTTACTGATCAAATTCTTTTTTAAAGGTTTTGATAAAGGTGGCAAGGCATTAGCCGTTTGTAACTTTAAAAGTAATCGTCAAATTTGAAACAGCAACTCTTAAGTCTAAGTTTTTTGAAAGAAATTGACTAAACCGCAGAAATTAGAAGGCTTTCTAGTCAATGTATTCAAAGTAGTGAAAAAAAAGCACAAAAGGCCTGAGCTAAGCTTAAGCCGAAGCCTGAGCCGAAGCCTAAGCCTAAGCCTAAGCCTAAGCCTGAGCCTAATCCTAAGCCTGAGCCTAAGCCTGAGCCTAATCCTAAGCCTGAGCCTAAGCCTGAGCCTAATCCTAAGCCTGAGCCTAAGCCTGAGCCTAATCCCTAAGCCTGAGCCTAAGCCTGAGCCTAATCCTAAGCCTGAGCCGAAGCCTAAGCCTAAGCCTAAGCTGAAGCCTGCCTTACAGGCTCCAGGATCCAGGTAGAAAATGAAATTGTGCCTTACTTGTGGAGTAATCATTTTGTCACTAGCATTAGGCCCAACTTTGAAACAGCAACTCTTAAGCTTAAGCCTTTTAAAAGAACTTGACTAAACAGCAGAAATTAGAAGGCTTTCTAGTAAATGTATTCTAAGTAATGAAAAAAATTTAATTTCAAAACTTTTTGAGTCAGGTTTTCAGCGGAGTCCTTAATATAACTTTAAGCCTTCTTTCAAACTCTTTAGTCCAATGCTAACAAGAATTTTGTAGCATTGGGCCAAGAAATAGACTTAGCAAGATATCAGATTATCAAGATATCAGATACTTTTGTTCTGCAACGCAACAAACCTTTCTCTGATCGGCTGACATTCGTTGGTAGCGGAGACGGGCTGCGTCGGCGGCTCTCTGAAATGGAATTGTTAAAAAATTGTTGGACATCTTATTCAATATCGATAATATTTTTAAACTTTGAAGAAAAGGAACAGTTTGAACACGTCAGTCCTTTTATCGGCTGAGAAAGAAGAAATAGCCCGAGCCGGGACTCGAACCCACGACCTCTCGGCTGATGCTCTACCAATGCTCCAGACCGACACGTGTTCCATTGCCGCCAGGAAAGAGTCTTATGCCTTACTCCCATCAATTTTCAAACTCAGCAATCGAATTTTTCCTACCGGAGTTATTGTAAAGCGATTTTCTAGTCGATTTTCTAGATTTATTGTAAAGCCAGGGTACCTTGCCCTTAGAGGAAGCGTTTGAGAAAATTTTCTTTAATTTTACTGATCAAATTCTTGTTTAAAGGTTTTGATAAAGGTGGCAAGGCATTAGCCGTTTGTAACTTTAAAACTAATCGTCAACTTTGAAACAGCAACTCTTAAGTTTAAGCTTTTTGAAATAACTTGACTAAACAGCAGAAATTAGAAGGCTTTCTAGTAAATGTATTCTAAGTAGTGAAAAAAAGCACAAAAAGCTTGATCTAAGCCTAAGCCTAGGCCTAAGCCTGAGCTTAAGCCTAAGCCTGAGCCTAAGCCTAAGCATGAGCTTAAGCCTGAGCCCAAGCCTAAGCCTAACAAACCCAAATAGACTTAGTGCTAGGCGCTAGCCGCTAGCCTACGCACTAAGTCCAAGCCTGAGCTTAAGCCTGAGCCCAAGCCTAAGCCTAAGCCTGAGCTTAATCCTAGCTTACAGGCTCCAGTATCCAGGTGGAAAATGAGATGGTGCCTTACTTGTCGAGTAATGATTTTGTCCCTTTCCGTACTTTGTGCTCATTTGTAAACGCTTTCTAGTGCACTCGATTCCTCATTTTTCTCAACTCCAAATGATTTCTATGAGAAAAGTGAATTATGTGCACCAGAAAGTGTATACAAGTGAGCACAAAGTACAGCGTAACGAGAGGAAATCATTACTGGTCAACTTTAAAAGTCAATGAAGTTGAAACATTGAAAGTAAAACTGGAAACGCGAGTCTATTCGATTTTGAATAGTTTAGAAAAATCGACTATTTTCTTTACCTTTCTCTGCTCGGGTGTCATCCGTTGATATCGCAAGCGAGCTGATTCGGCTCTTTTCCGATTTCTCTCAACGATTTGTTGCGCTCGATCGAAAACCTCACCAGAAACACGTCCAATTGGCATCGTGAGAAGCATTTCTTCCTTAATTTGAAAAATTTGCTTCACTTTTTTAAGTATCTTAACTTTAAAATATAAAAGTATTATGTGCACGTGTGGCTGACTGGTTAAGTGTCTTTTATCTTAATCGGAAGGTCGAGGGTTCGAACCCCACATGCGACATGGTCACCCCCTTCGGATTTCCTTTCCCTTCGGGTTGAGAGGTTTTCTGGAGGGCAGTCTGGTGGTTGTGGCCCCAGTTCTTTAAAGTGACAAGCCACTCCTTCATCGTCATCTTCCCTTCACCACCAAAAAAAGCTATTTAGTTCCCCATTGAGCTTAGGGTTAGGGAGCCGTCTGTCATGACGTGGGTTAAGTTAAGATATAGCCTAGTATTGTGTGTGTCGTTGTATTGTGATTGATATATTTCGTGTATGCGATAAATTCACAACTGGTAGCCCCAGTCGGTATTTTTTTTTAAAGTGTAAAAACTTAAACTTAAACTTAAACTTAAACTTTAAACAAACTTTAAACAAACTTTTTAAAGTTTCGTTTTTAAGAAATTCCAGTCAAACTTTTTGCGAGAACTTTCTTTCCAACCTAATAATTTGGAAGGGACCTTTATCAGGTTAGAACCGCAAAGCTTTGTGCTAGCCCGCTTAGGTAACTGCTTAATTCAAAAGAAAGCTTAGCTCAAAATTTAGGTGTTTGATCATATTTTTGAACAAAGTATTTATTTTTAAAGCAAAAATATGGCAACTCAGATACATTTTACTTTAAATATCTTAAACTTTAAAGTTTATAGTTTAAAGTTTAAAGTTTATAATTAAAGTTAAAGTCTAAAGTTAAAGTAATTATTTGGTGCTGATTCTGTCAAGCAGCTTATTTTCTTCTTATTTTGTTTGAATCTCCTTTTTCTCTGAATTTCTAACCTCTAATCGTTTCCTTCGAAACGCGTCCGTTCGCTTTTGATTGTAGACGCGCTTCTGATCGTTTGACATGGCATGATATCTAATAAATTAAATGATATTTATTATATTAATTTACTACATTAATCAAATAAAAAGTGATAGTTGAAATCAAATAAAAAGTGATAGCCTAAGCCTGAGCCTGAGCCTAAGCCTGAGCCTGAGCCTGAGCCTGAGCCTGAGCCTGAGCCTGAGCCTGACCTGAGCCTGAGCCTGAGCCTGAGCCTGGGCCTGAGCCTGAGCCTGAGCCTGAGCCTGACCCTGAGCCTAAGCACAAACTGGTAAGAAACTCACTTTCTTTGTACAAAAGAAAAAAGAAATTAATGATCTAGTTTGCTTTCCGACCCGCTTATTTTGAAACATTCAAATTTGAAAAGCATTTCACCTAATTACAGTTTCAAATCTTTCCCTTACGACTTCAAATTCACAGTAGAAACAAAAATATTTTATACTTTATCAATAAATAAAGTTACTAATCATTTTGAAAGTTTAGTTTAAGCTTTTAAACTTTAAAATCTATTCTAAAGTCTCTAAAGATCGATTACAAATCCAGATTAACTTGTATGTTTCAAGATAAAGTAAATGGACGAAAGGTAACGCAACAATTTCTGAATCAGCCTCAAAGAATTCTTTTAAATTAAAGCAGTAGCCTGCTAGGGCTGCTAAAATTCTATTAAAGCATTGTCTATTAAAGCATTCTCTATTAAAGCATTCTCTATTAAAGTAGTAGCTTGCTAAGCCTGCTAGCATTGCTAAAAACTACCGTAGCCTGGCCGCCTCAGCTTTCTTCTTGTTCTGTACTTTGATGTGCTCGGTGACGATCTCGTCATCTTTATTATCATCTCCAGTCAACATATTGCTTGCCTGAAAGGGGAAATTTGTAAATTGATTTGTAAATATTCATTCGTGAAAGCAAATCTAGGTTTATAACGAAGGTATACTCGGTTCTAACTAGTCTATACTCGGTTCTAACTAGTCTATACTCGGTTCTAACTAGTCGATACTCGGTTCTAACTATTTCTAACAATATTTAAAGAACATCGTAACAAAATTGAGTTTCAACTCTCATTGGCTGCCAAATTTGAAACCGCTTTTTCAATTCAATTCAATTTTCGAATTCAAAACTTGCTCAAGGTTCAATTAATTCTCTCAGTATCAGAAAAAAGCGGGTCAATTACGATAGTTTTTTGAAAATAATGCCTTTCAGAAAACGAATTCATCAATAAAAAAAACTCGAGATGTTTCTGGCTTTTATGCAAATTGCAAATTGCTAATTGCTAATTGCAAATTGCTAATTGCTAATTGCAAATTGCAAATTGCAAATGCAAATTTATAAAATTTCAAAATCCCATTCAAATCTCGACCCTGCATTGCGCGAAAGCTTTCTCTTGTTCCCTCCGTTTTCTTCTCTCATTCGATTCAGCTTTTTGCTCTGGCGTCATTCGTTGGTATCTGTAAACGTGAAAAAGTGCGTTTTAAGTCTAAAATCTTCATAATTTTAAAGTCAGTCAAAATTCGAAAGTAAAAGTCTTGCCAAAAATGCTTACTGTTTCAAAATGAACAGGTTTTTAGGTAAAGATTTTTCGTAATCAATTTCGTAAACAAGCTCTCATTTTTTGGTTTCCTTACCCTTAAACTAAATCTTAACGGTATTGTAAAGTTTAATTCCAAATCTTTTACTCAGATCAACAATAGTATATAGGAAATGAAAAGGATTCAAAATCAGCTGACAAAACTGAATATCTTAGCTTCATATGGAGAATTTGAAGATATTCAGTCTATTGGTTGATCTTAGTCTATTCAAGCATACTCTAGAGTGTTCCGTTTCCTATAATATGGGTAATTCAGAAAAGCTACCCGAACCTTTCTCTCAGATTTTGTCTCAGATCTCTCAGATTTTGTCTAGTAAACGTCATTTTGATCTTATAGAAATCACATTTTGAATAGAATTGGATCAAAGTTAAGTAAAACCGACAATCTGGAAGAAAGATTGCGATAGCTTTTCATAGCTTTTCCAAATCCTTTTAGAAAACGCGAAAACGCAGAAACACAGTATGCATAAATAAAAGTATTCAATAGATCGACTGAATATCTTTTCAAGTTAGCTAAAGATATCTGGGTTGGTGAATTGAAAACTGCCGGACTTTGAACTAAAATTTATTCAACATAAAACCATCAATTCATTCCAAATAATTTCCATTATTATTTCCATCATTATTCACGACTTCTGCCCATTTTACAGGCAATTTGTGGATTCCTTTTTCGTAGTAGGATTTTGGTTTGTGTGTGAGACAAGTGTGAGACTCAAAAATGGAGGACTGGAGGACTGGAGACTGGAGACAAAAATGGAGGAGTGGAAATGAAGGAATGTCCCAGTTTGAGCACTTTCTTCAAAAGAAACCCATTTTGGTGTCAATAGAAAAGTTGTAGAGAATCAAAAATTAGGCTTATAGCCAAATTTCCAAAAAGATACACTTAGTAGTTTCGCTTAAAAGGCAAGTTTTGTGAAAATTTGGCATTTCTTGAAAACCAGTTTTTGAATAGTTTTGAAAATTTGGATATAAGCTTGATTTTTGATTCTCTACAACTTTTCCATTGACACCAAAATGGGTTTCTTTTGAAGAAAGTGCTCAAACTGGGACATTCCTTCATTTTTGAGTCTCCAGTCCTCCATTTTTGAGTCTCACACTTGTCTCACACACAAACCAAAATCCTACTACGAAAGAGGAATCCACAAATTGCTTGTAAAATGAGCAGAATTCGTCAATAATAATGGAAATAATAATGGAAATTATTTGGAATGAATTGATGGTTTTATGTTGAATAAATTTTGGTTCAAAGTCCGGCAGTTTTCAATTGACCAACCCAATATTTAGCTTTGACCACTAAATGCTTTCACTCCAGGATACTGTAATGAGCAAAGACGCTGGAATTTCACTTTACAATACCTTTAAATACCGTAATCTTTTTTATTAGAAGTTTATTTGATACCAGAATTTTAGAATTTATGTAAAGAAAAATAGATTGATTAGAAATTGTTGAGTTTTTGCGTTCACAAAAAGCTTGTTTCAAATTCGTTAAACTTTAGTGTTAATTGGCTGGCCTAATTTTGACTTGATTACGTTTCAAAGCCCTTTTCTAATAAAAAAATGTACGGTATTTTCCCTATGAATATATTTTTAATATAAATAATATAAAATTACTTCTTTTTGTTTTGATACCTAAGCCTTGCCGCCTCGGCCCATCGGGCCCGGCGTCTTTTTTCACGCAATTGCTCGGTGATATCGGGATCTTCCTAGAAAAAAAACAAACAATTGATGAGGAAAATAAAGTCTATTTTGGGAGTGGGACAAATGCGACCCTTTTTTTTGCGCACCCGGACATTTGCGCACATTTTTTTCCGCACCTTGCCCATTAGCGCACCTTTTTTCGCGTTTTAAGCTCTAAAAGCTCTAAAAAAGCTCTAAAAAGCTAATATTAACCAATTTCTATTCCAAATGTTGTTTTCCTAGTTAATTTGATGGTGTCGAATTAGAAATTTTGATATAGCAGAGCGTGTGGAACCAATTTGTGGAAGGCAAAACGGCTAGATCAAATTACAGAAAATTGTCGATTTTTCTCTTTGCATAACTCCGTCCGTTTGTTTCCACAAGCTCTGATATGTCAAAATTTCGATTCTACGCCCTAAAATTACCTAGAAAAACAACTTTTGGAATAGAAATTGGTTAATATTAGCTTTTTAGAGCTTTTAGAGCTTAAAACGCGAAAAAAGGTGCGCTAATGGGCTAAGTGCGGAAAAAAAAGGTGCGCAAATGTCCGGGTGGGCAAAAAAAAGGTCGCATTTGTCCCACTCCCGTCTATTTTATATATTTTAGATTTTAGATTTTAAGACATTCAATAATTATCTAGATTAGCTTTAAGATATAAAAACAATTGGTACAAATGGATCTATCTCCCCGCCACTCAAAATGGATAGCATTAAGAATGCGCTGTGATCTGATCTCTGATCTTTAATGAAACAATTTTTACTGTTGAAGTTGCTTACAAACCACAAAACCATTATCAACTGATACTCCCAAATCAAAAGAAAAACCAGTGCACTAAAACCAATTTTTAGATGTACTAAAAGTGTCTATAAACAGTAAAAAGCTACAGGGTTCCTGGAAAAAGGAAAAGATGAAAAATTTGATAATGCTCAAGAGATTGATGAGATTCTAGAGATTCTAGAGATTCTTAATTGGCTCAGGAAAAAATTGAAACGAAAAATTCGGGCAACCCTTTTCGGAGAACCCTTTTCTCCGAAAGGATTGATGATTTGTGGTGGAGTCAAAGGGAAAGTCGCCACCGACATCGACGTTCATCGAAAAAAACGTTCAAATCAACGCCCAAGTCTATCAAAATGAGGTTCTCAATAGTTAAATTCAAATTTTTGAATCGAGGGGATAATCCATCTGTACCAAACAATTCAATAAACTATGAAAACACATCTATCTATCTGATTCGAACCTTGATAAACGTGAAACATCAATTTTAAAGCATAAAACTCTATCAACTATCAATTTCTTTCTCTCTTAGCTAATCCGTTTTCTAAAAGAAATCCATTTTCAGACAAACTACCGTAATCTGTCATTCTGTCTGTCAGTTTTCATTTAATTAACCCAATAACGCAAGTTTTCATTTAATTTGTATCATTAAATGAGCCATTTGATTCCGCTCATCAAATGAGACCAAAATTAACCTATCGGATGAGTTACCGGATCGATTACAATAGTATTTGAAAAAAGATTTCATTTAGAAAACCCATTTAAGCAAGAGGGAAACTACTGTAATGAAGAAAATCTCAGGATTTATTGTACTTGTCTCCTAGTCGGGGGTTAAAGGTTCGATCCCGGCGGCTAGAAAGATTCGTTCTTTTTCCCATTATGGGTTTTTTCTTAACAACATTTAGGCAATTGGCGTAATTAGGGGTAGAAATTTCCTCCGTTGTGTTGTAATTCATTATTCGTGTCGAATAAATATACCGTATTCTCTCTAATAGAGGTGCACTCTTTAATAGTATTGCGGTCCAGGAGGGGGTTCAAAAAATAGTAGTGCACCCTCAAAAATTTGAATTTCTGTTTGCTTCTTTTTCATCTAAACCTTTTTGACTTTATGTTTATGTGACATTCTAAAGCTATTCAAGCAAGCAAAAGTGAGGCTTTTTTTATTCATTTATTAACTATTCTTCACATAAAAAAGTTAGCAAAAAAATTGTTGTGCAAAAGTGCAAAAACATCTTTTTGTTGTTTGTCAAGACACAAAATAGGAACTGTATCGGAATCTTATTGGAACCGTATTGGAACTGTATTGGAACCGTATTGGAACCGTATTGGAACCGTATTAGATCAAAATAGGAACCGTATTGGAACCGTATCGGATCAAAATAGGAACCGTATTGGAACCGTATCGGATCAAAATAGGAACCGTATTGGAACCGTATTAGACCAAAATAGGAACGTATTGGAACCGTATTAGATCAAAATAGGAACCGTATTGGAACCGTATCGGATCAAAATAGGAACCGTATTGGAACCGTATTAGACCAAAATAGGAACTAGGCCCACAACTGTATCTCAAAAGGAGCCAAAGGAGTACGTGAAAGAAATTGCAAGAATTTTTGGAATAAAGTTTATATCTGTCTTACTTTAGTAAATGATAAAACTCTTTAATAGTACTGCACTCTCTTATAGTATTGCGGTCCAGGAGGGGGCTCAAAAAATAGTAGTGCGCACTACTATTAGAGAGAATACGGTACTTTTTTTTGTCAAATCTTTCTTTTTACTTATCAAAATTGATGTTTCAAGTTTATTGATATTAAAAGTAAATCGGAAAAGTCAATTTTTTTTTCTTAAATCTTTCTCAAACTCAAATGTTTCCCAAAATTTTCACCTGAATATCATTTGTTTGCCTCAGAATATCTTCTAATTGTTCCATTTCTTTTTCCCGTTGTCTCTTTCTTCTTTGTGCTTCGGTGCGGCGAGCGTTTAGCTCTTTCTTTTTGTCGGCTGACAAAGCATGGTATCTGAAAATGGAAATGGAAACAGTTCAAATGGTAAAATTACTTTTTTTTGTTTGTTTGTTTGTTTGTTTCTTTCTTTCTTTCTTCTTCCCCCTTATCTTTCCCTCTTTCTTCTGGCGAGAAGCTCAGTGGTCAGTGGCAAGAAGCTCTAACCACATAACTCAGTGGTTAGAGCATTTGACCGTAAATCAAAATACCGGAAAGATCGAAAAAAAACTATTCTCTTACTCACAAGGGAAGATCAACTACCTGAGCCGGTCAAATGCTATGTTCGACTCAGAATTTTATGCTGATTCCGAACATATACTCCGTTTTTGCTAAATGACAATCTGCTAGGAGTTATAAGCGTCTAAAGTTTTGTTAGACTTCAAAATGTGGTCTTAGTGGACTCCTTGTGGGAGCCGAATCGATGCAGCCGTGGCCGACTAGTAGAGTGTTCGTTTCCAGAGCGAGACCTCACAAGTTCGATCCCCACTTTGGATTTTTTTCTGCTTTTTTTTAAGAAGTGCAAGAAACCCAAAGTGGGGACCGAACTTGTGAGGTCTCGCTTTGGAAACGAACGCTCTACTAGCCCTCTACTAGTTCGCTCGCTCTACTAGTCCGCTCGGCCACGACTGCACAAAAACTGGTTCAATCCCCTCCATGAAAATCTTTCTTTGCCATTCTTTATGCCGGAAATCATTCTTTAATTTACTTTATTACTATTAAATCATTTTAATATTACGTTATTACCAAAAAAAGCTTTAGAAAACTTCTGTTTTCCAAAACGTTTCCCAAAACGTTTCCCATTTCTTCTACCGTAATCTTGTCTCTATTTTTATGCGATCTATCGACTTTTAGCATTCTGTGAGGGTTCATAAAGAATATCGAAAGATATAAAAAGTAGATAGATTGAAAAATAGAAAGAAAATTAGGTAGAAAGAGAAAGAGGATACGTTTTAGAAAACATTTAAGTTCAGAAGTTTTCTAAAGCTTTTCTGGTAATAAAGGTTCAGTAGGAGGTTCACAAAAGTCGCTTTATGGAAAATTGACTATTCTAAATATTCTAGCTTTACTTATGAGGAGAGACTTGCTTTTTTTGAACTAAAAACTTTACAGCATCGTCGCTTTGTCATTGATTTAGTCGAAACTTTCAAAATCCTCCGTAGTAAACAGATTAGCCCTTTGTTTATAGACTTTTTCAAATTTAAACCGCGGTCAGGGCCCAGAAGTGGCTCATTCCTTTTGCAAATTCCCTTTGCTTCCAATGCCTCTTTATCAAATTCATTTCCCGTTAGAGCCGCTAGATTATGGAACTTGCTCCCAAACGACATACGAGAAATTCAGTCGCTTTTCATATTCAAGAAACGTATCGATGCTTTAGATCTAGTGGCTCTTTGCCGTAAGTAATTGGCTTATTGATTTCAGTATGTATTGTATGATTAAGTATCACTGTGCATTTCTCTATGATTTCTTTCACTTTATCGTTTGAATAAAGTATTATTATAAAGTAATATTAAAATAATTTAATAGTAATAAAGTAAATTAAAGAATTAAAGAAAACACAGAAATGTCAATTTCTTTGTTTAAACTGTGACAAAGGCAAGCTTTCGATTTTTAGACGAATTTCGAAAAGTAAATTCAAGAAAAATAATATCCGCAAGTACTCCTCACCTCAAACGAGCCGCTTCTGCTTGTCGCTCTTTCTTCGCGCGCTCCTTTTCGGTCAACTCAGGCATGCCGCCCATTTTAGCGACCACGGTTTTGACGGTGGTGCCGCCTGGACCCGGTTGGGTCACATATTGAATCTAAAGAAAACTAGTATAAGCTTTTATTCAACTAATTCAGCCAATCAAACATATTGAGCCAATATTGAAACAAATTCCATTGAAACTCTATCCTAAACTGCCTGTTAACTTGCCTGAAGTTCTGTTATAGAACTTCAAATTCTTAACTTAAACATAAGCTCTTGAAAGTCAACCAATTTTTGAATGAATTTTGTGGAGAAATCAATGTGGAGAGATTATTTTGTGGAGTGATCATGTTGGGCAATAAAAGGAAATAAACGTTTTTAATGGCTCCAGTTTACTATTCAAATAATTACTATTCAAAAAAAAAAATTAGCAAACAGTTTAAGCTTTCGAAATTTATAAGTTAAATTTTTACAAGTTTCATCTATGATCGAGTGAATTTATTTAAATTATTATTCAAGTTTAAAAGTTTAAATTATTATTAAAGTTCTTTAAGCTCAAAATTTCAACACAAGGAGCGCTAGAGGCTCTCGAATTTTGAAGAGATTTAAGTTTTAAAGAGATCGAGATTTAAAGTTCTATAGAATTGCTAATTTTAAGTTTCTGAGTAAAGTATTGAAGTAAAATAAGCAGTAAATTCTAAAAGAGTTTTTATGGGGAATGGTTAACTCTAGGCGGAGCTAGGTACTAGAGAAAAAGTGGCTGTAATTCTTCTAATTCTAATGTAACCCTTCTAATTTTAATGTAATTCTTCTTCTTGAAGTTAAAGAGAAGAAATTTGGAGTTATTTTGAGACATTTTACTCAATTTCTCAATTTCTCAACACGATTAAGGTTCACATCTTTTAAAACCTTTTGAAACCTTTTGAAACCTTTAAAATGACTATCAAGATTGAACGTTTTTAATGACTCTTTTAAAATGACTCTTGAAATCTCTTTTTAAAATGTATTGGTGCCTTTTAGTGTACAATTTGGCGTATTCACTTTACATCTCTGTCTCTTTGACCGCTTTTCTCTATTAAAAATTGTTCAGAGAAGCTTTTCAATACAAAAATAGCGTCTCAAATTACTTAATAACATTATACTTAACTGTTTTGGCTGAACTGGTATAACGAAAATTTAAGTTGATGTGAAGTTCCTTTTGGAGAAGCAGGGAAAAAGGAGTATTTTCAATTTCTCAACACGATTAAGGTTCAAATCTTTTAAAACCTTTTGAAACCTTTAAAATGACTATCAGAATTGAATGTTTTTAATGACTCTTTTAAAATGGCTCTTGAAATCTCTTTTTTAAATGTATTGGTACCTTTTAGTGCCCAATTTGGCTAATTTGGCTTATTTATTTTAAAGCTTAACTAAAAGTGTAACCAAAAGCTCAACTCAACTAGAATTATGTTTATTTTTCGTTATTTCATTAGCTCTGTCTTTGCTTACATTAAATTAAACATTAAACAGAACCCTCTATCTTGATCTCAAAAAACTTTGAGACTTCGTTTCTTTTAACTAATAATTTTGATTTTTTAATGATTTTTTAAATAAAATAAATAGAGTTTTTATAAAATAATAACAGTTTTTTATAAAATGATAACAGTTTTTTGTTGCCTTATCTAATCAAAATGATTTGATTTGAAGAATTAGACAAATTTCCTGAATTTGAAAGCCGTAAACTTTGAGAATTCTTTTTTTAATCACAAAGCTAAGCTTTTTTAAAAGTTTGACTTATGCTAAGGTTGTTTAAAAGTCAATAAATCGTCAATTTAAAGTCAATTTAAAAGTCAATGTTGTTTTTCAATTTACCTGTGATCCTGTGTTGTGCTGATTGTGTGATGACCACGAGGATTGCTGTGTTTGGTGGGGTTGATTCTGGGTGTGACTCGGCTGGGGATGATCGACGAAGTACGAGTCGATTAGGGCGGCCAATCTGAAAACTTTGATAGTTATTTGATCGACTCAACTTTTAGGCAACAATTGACGTTTAAATTAGCACGCACTTATCATCGGATCCTTGTTGATTGATGATGTAGCGGTGCTCGACGGGCTCTCCGTGCGCGTTCACGATGCGAACCTCGGTGCCTTGAGCCTGAAATTTTGCCAGAATTAGAGTAAGAACAGTTTTTGCTACAGTTTTCGAAATTGTTTAGCAAAAGAAGCTTGTAGAAAGAAATAACGGTCCAATATGGTTCAAAACCGTAGCTAGAGTTGACCATTTTGAAAAATGACCTTAAAATCGGGAAATATTGAATTTCTTGATTACAAAAATGTTTTAAAAGCTGAAGACAAAGTCAAGAGAATCTGGTATTGCAATGGAAAAGCTGCAATTGTTATGCATTAATTTGAAACAAAGTTTTTCATTCTACTGAGTTGAAAAGCTTTCGAATAAAAAGTTTGGAACCGTATTGGAACCGTATTGGAACCATATTGGAACCGTATTGGAACCGTATTAGATCAAAATAGGAACCGTATTGGAACCGTACCTAATTTTGGTTCCAATACGGTTCTAATACCGCTCCAATACGGTTCCAATACGATTCCTATTTTGATCTTCGAATAAAAATTTTACTGTACTTTTAAAGAAAAATCTTTAAAGATAAATGATCAATTTTAAAGATAATAAATAAATAAACCTAGTTTTTAAAATAAATAAACGAACCGCTACATAATTTGGAATATAAGTGGTGCCGGAAGAATTGCTCGGTTGAACGGAAGAAACAGTGTACGAGCTGCTCGTCGGGTGAAATGAGGTGTAAGCTGGAAAGTGAGATGATAACTTGATATAGATGATATCTTGATATAGATGATATCTTGATATAGATGATATCTATCTTTTGAATCTTTCTTTATAGAACATTTTCTAGATTTAAAGCTTTAACAGCTTGTTTGAAAGAAATTTAAAGTTTAAGAGATCTAAGAGTAGTATACAGGCTGACAACTTATAGAGACAACTTTGAAAAAGTAACTAGAAAATGTGTAATTCATTTCAAAAGTGGCAAGTGTTTTATAGAGATTTGTAGCCCTTAATCTTGGCTACATTTATCTACCAAAAACTTTCCGATTGGACTTATAGAACTCTTTTAAAAAGCGCTTGAATAAGCGCTAGTCGACATCTCTGTCATTTGACCGCTTTTCTCTATTAAAAATTGTTCGGAAAAGCTTTACAATACAAAAATAGCGTCTAAAATTACTTAATAACATTACACTTAACTGTTTTGGCCGAACTGGTATAACGAAAATTTAGGTTGATGTGAAGATCGTTTTAGAGAAGTAGGGAAAAAGGAGTATTTTCGATATTCAGTTCATTTTCAGTTCATTTCACGTTATATCAGCGGTTCTGACACTATAAATTTGTTGAAAACATTTTTTTAAACAAAATTACCACAATTTTGACTGAAAGAAGCTTTTCCGAATGAAAATTTTAACGTAGAAAAGTGGCCAAATGACAGATGACAGAGATGTCGACTAGCGCTTATTCAAGCGCTTTTTAAAAGAGTTCTATAAGTCCAATCGGAAAGTTTTTGGTAGATAAATGTAGCCAAGATTAAGGGCTACAAATCTCTATAGAACACTTGCTACTTTTGAAATGAATTACACATTTCCTCGCTACTTTTCCAAAGTTGTCGCTATAAGTTGTCAGCCTGTAGTAGCAGCTTATATAAAACAGACGTTGAAATCCCAATTCGTTTTACCTGTATATGTTTGTTGTCCTTGTTGAGAGCTGCCCTGTTGACTCGATTGTTGCCCTCCATAGGAATAGTTTTGATTCATTCTGAAAAAGATTTTGATTTAGGTTTTCAAGTTCAAGAACATGTAGAGGAAAACCTCAAAAAATAGTTAAAAATAGTAAAAGAATAGTTTTTCGCTTAGCGGCTTGAAAGCTTTATGAAAATTTCGAGGTTTCAAATTCTAACTCGATTCAATTCGATTTGAAATCCCAAAAGTTTACCGGATGACAATTGCTCTAGGAAAATTAGTCGACTAGGGAATGCTCCCGAAAAAGCAATGGACCTAGCCTAGCCTATCGGACCTAGTCTAGGCCTATTGGACCTAGCCTAGGCCTATTGGACCTAGCCTAGGCCTATTGGACCTAGCCATTGATTTACAAGCTCTTTTTACCGTAATCTTTTGGTTTTGTGCATCATTTGGGCTAGTCAGTGCAGGGCAGTGAAAGGCAGTGAAATAGGCTTGGAAAGTACTGATTTTCGTTACATACTTGCAAAATTTGCCTAATTTGAGTACGATTCGTCAACCCTTGTACAGTCTAACAGTTTTGATTAAATGATTAGTTTTGATTAGCTATGTCTAGTTAACTATTTTGAGATCAAAGTAGGTTCCTCTGAGTTTTCTAAAAAGTTTCAGCTACTGCGTTTTCTAAAAAGCACTATTTTTATTCAACCAGCCGCCAGTTTTCATTTCATATCGATCAGCTCAATTTTTATATCATTCGATGAGAGAATCATTTGTTAATTCGATGAGAGAATCTTCAATGATACAAAAATTAAACTTATCGAATGTAAACTGATCGATTACGGTAGTTGAATCAAATAGTGCTTTAAGTATAATATTTACAAAATCTACTGGCTCTTGTACTCAAATTTAGACATTAATCTGGTACTCTTTGGATCATCGACTTGATCGAATTTGGATCATCGACATCATTGTTTAGCCCCTTCTCATCCCCGTAAACGATTCCCCCGTTTAGGGCCAAACTCGGTCTTATCTCTAGTGTGAGAAAACGAGAGTCACAAAAAAAGTGAATGAGAAGAGAATTGCAAGAAGAACAGATTCATTCAACCATTCCTCCTACAGCTAGAGAGCAATAGAAAACACAGGCACACCTCAAAAGAAAATAAGAAGAAGAAGAAAAAAAAAGGGGGGACACACCAGATACAAGAGCGAGAAAATGCGCATTCATAAAACGCGAGAGAAATTGACGAAATGAGGGTTGGCCTGGAGGGGAGGAAAAGAAATGTGATGTGGGAGTTGGGATGGGGAGAGGGGAAGGAGGAGAGAAAGAAATCGGCACACCCCTCGATTGGATACGGGAAAGGCTTCTGCGTCTATGGCTTTTAGTACTATTTCTTTTGCTCTAACTTGAAACATCTATTCTCTAGCTGAGCCTAGTTCTCTGTCCTACCACCTCTGATCCTTGACTCTCCACAAAAAACCCAATATTTTCTAATTCCTATCTCGCTGAGCCTTGCCGAGCCTTCCCAAGCCTTCCCATTTCTCTATGTTCTCTAAACAATCCAATATCTCATTGTTCCTGCTCTCCATTCCTCCTGCTCTCCATTCCTCCTCTATTCCTCCTCTATTCCTCCTCTATTCCTCCTCTATTCCTCCTCTATTCCTCCTCCATCTTCCTATTATCGGATTTCCCCATCTGGCCTCCTCTTCCCCCACTTTTTACGACTCTTACAACTAGATCTCTCTCCGCTTTGCCCTCTTTTTCATACACAATCGATCTCTCTTCTTTCACCCCATTCTCCCATCCATTCGTCTATTTGTGTCCCCTACCCTCTCCGTGTCTATCTCTTCTCTTTTCCTATTCTCCACCTTTTCCCATTCTTTTCCTTTCTCATCGATTCTCCCTTTCCTTACCTTTTCTACTCCCTTTGTACATCAGCCTTCTCTCGCTTTTACACTCGTATCTTTTGATCAATCTCTTTCCTGAAACTCTTTCCTTACTCTTTCCATCACCTCAGCCTCACTACGCCTATGCCTATTCACTCACTCAGCCACACTACCATACTCCCTTCTCGAATTCAATTCTTCTTCTCTTCACTCCACAACACTTCCACTTCCTCTTCTCTGTTTCTCTTTACATTCAACTCTCGTTCTCTTCATTCTTTTCTGATCACTCACCTACTCTCACCTATCCTTCTCCCCGTTCATTTCTCTTTACCCACAGCCTTCCAGCCTTTTCACTCACCCTTTTCCTTTACTCATTCCTCTCCACTTCTCATTGGTTCTCTCCATTCTGTCAATTCTAAGCTCGCGTTCTCTTCACTCACTTCTTTTCCTATTCACCCTATCACTCCCTTCAGTAGACCCCTTTCTCCCATTCAATTTCTCTTTACACAACTCCTTTTCTCTTTCTCTCTTTTCGTTTCTCTCGTACAATCTATCCAAACGAGAGAAGAGAAACGACGCGTTGAGGGGTTTTGGGGAAAGCAGAAGAAGAAGAAATATACGCGTAAACACAAATCGAGGGAGAAAACGGGGCAAAGAACAAAGAAAAGAATCAAGAAATCCCGAAACAAAAAAGAAATACGAGGAAATTGAGAAGATGAACAAAAAGAAAAAAAAAAGAATAAGGAGGTCTTCTTTTGGTAAAGAGCAACAGAATGCTTTCTATCTGAATTCTGCAATAGAATGCTTAAAAATACGGTTATCTCGTGGCAAGAAGCAAACATTGAAATTGTTTTTTTCTTAAATCTGATTTTCTGAATGGTACAAGTGCTATATTTGATACCCAAAAACGTAAAACTCGCATTTTTATTGATTTACAGAAAAAACTATCTCGATCTATAGCGACTGAGCTGAATTGACAAATCTATTGTACTAATACTATTGTAGATTGAGATTTGAATAAAAATATGATCAAATTTAGCATGTAAAAGCATGTAAAAGCATGTAAAAACATGTAATAATTGCATAAACTTTGGGTAATAAGTTTTATTCAAATTTTTGCGCACCATGATACATTAGAAATCTCCTATCTCATAGTAAAAGCCAAAAATTGAAATCTCTTTTCCAAAATCTGATATTGACATTTTGTAGAGTACTTTTAAAGCCTATTTTCTTGCAACAGAGTCACATTAGATGTTGAAAAGTGTGAAACTCTTACTTTTTTTTGGTTTAAAGACAAAAAAAATCCAAAATCAAGAACCATATTGGATGAATCCCTAAATCGTGATATTCAACTGTTTCTATTGTAAACTGTACTGGGTAAACTTTACAATTAGTGATTACGATAAGCGACTCGTCGATTACCGACGCAGCTACTTACTTCAAAAAGTCTACAGTATTTTCTAAATACTCCAATACAGACCCAAAAAAATTGAAATTCGTGATTTCATAATGTTTTTTATCATAACATAACATAATCATAGCAAAACAAACAAAAAAAAACAAAAAAACAAAAAAACAACCACGCGCGGAATCGAACCAGGAAGCAAAAGCGTACCACGCAGCCACACTAACCACTAGGCCACGACTCACTTTTTGAGAGTCCGCAGCTAGACACTATGTGCCAGAAATTCAAAAACCTTTCAAAATCATGAACTTTGAAGCCATTTTTACCCTCATCCGCATTAACACACATTTAACTATGATTTAACTACTAACACACACTATGATACCGTATTTTTTTCTAATAGTAGTCCACCCCGCCGAGCCATCTACTATCTATAAAAGAGCTGTGTCTGTCTATGCGCACTACTCCTCCTCCAGTGCGCCTTTTTAAATAACTTATACCGTATTTTCTCTAATAGTAGTGCACCCCGGCAAGCCGAGTTGGTGACTATTTTACGGTTTCGAAGTTTTCCCAGAAGTCCAACACTCTAATCCCCCACTAGATCTCATCGTCAGCTACATTTTCCGACCCCAAATCGATAGGTTCTGATAAGCGCTTTTCGAGATTTCGAGGAATTTAGGCGACGCTCTTGGTGCACTATTATTAAAGAAAATACGGTATTCAAAACGAGAAAAAAAATTCCAATCGATTGGCCTCATTTTGAAAGGCGAATCTGTGAGCATTACAAATCACAAAAGCATCTAGTAAATCACAAACGAAAATTCAAAAGAGACATTGAAAAATATAGCAGAACCAGTTTTCTATTGTGGTTCCACGTTCTGGAATGGATATAGTTTTTGGAAATATTTGAAGGTTCGAATGGTTTACACTTTTATTGAAAAAGTTACAATTTTTGAATCAAGGAAAACACATGAAAAATCCCCTTTCCCTCCTATTTCATGGGCTCGCTTTTGAGCGAAATTTTCGCGCCAAATGTCCGGGAATTTCCCTTTTTGCGGCCACCTTTGACAGTCGGCTGGTAAAAATTGCATAACTATCTTGGTCATTTTACCAAAAATGACTGAAATTCTATTTTTAAATTTTAACAGCGAACCTTGAGTAATCCCCTAGGAATCATTAAATTTTTAAAAAAGTTTAAGGACACCTTCTTTTTCACTTAAAGTTATGAATGTTTATAGTTCGCTATAGCGCTTAGTTTTCATGCAGAATCAACGTTTGTATCTTTTTTGTTGTGCTATTTTTTTTTAACTTTTCTTCAAATTTACTCTTTCTACTTTTTTATTTTAGCAAAATGGTCAAGGAATCGCTCGAGAACACCGCCGCCGCCCATGTTTTCGATCGGATTTTTCAAGGTTTGCGCCAATTTTTTGCAATTCTAAAGGTTTCTTGGCATATTGAATAAGTAAAAGTTTACAGAAAGCTTAATTTGTTTTACATTTTCTCTATGCTATTGATTTAGAAAACGTTGACGAACACCTGAAGGCCCCGTCGACTTTTATCGCGAAGTGTCGGGAGCGTTTTTCGGAGGTGATTGAGGTAAGCTTGTGCTTTAGAATACGCTTATGAGCTTTATAAGCGGCTAAATGTTTTGTTGAACGATATATTTTGTGAATTTTTAGACCTGTCCTCCACATTCCCCGTCGACACCAAAGGAGCAAGTTGTTCGGCTCCGTTGCATGATCCAAGACGAGCTCGGCCCCGAGTATTTCCCGATTGGAGCCAAGGTTTTTTGGTTGCTGATTGGGTTTAAAGCTTTGTGGTTTATGGTTTAAACTTAAATATCTTGATAATATGTAGTGAATAATGTGGTATCGATGTGATAAGCTTTATTATCTTAAATGTTAGTTTGTTAGTCTTTGAGTCATTTGGCAGCTTCAAATTCTCCTCGCTTACTTAAATATTTCATTTAGATCAATGGCGAAGGAGTCGAGAGTTATCACAGCGGCTTTTTGAGGGACTCTTGGATGACATTTGAAAAAACGGTGAGCTTTTTGGGAATTTAGCACTAAAGAATCAGATTTTTCATGTTTTTTGTTGTTAAAATGTGTAAACTGAAATAAAAGTTTAGTAAAACTACTAACGTGTTTAGCTTTTAGGTGGAAATTTGCGGAAAAACATTGGCTCGTCAGCGCTATGTGATGGTGCCCGTACCTGGAGCGACTGAATGGTGGGAAAACGAGTGGATGGGATCGGAAGAGGTTTGTGATAGACTTTTTGCAATAATTTGAGGTTCAATTCATAAATTTACTATGGAAAACATTTATTTTAGCTTTACTCAGCTGCTCGGGGTCCACCGTCAAAGAGAATCGAGAAGTTTTTGGCCAAGGTGAGCGCATTTTACTAGTTTAAGAATGAAGCTTAGAATGGGTAGAGCTAAAAACCTATTGATTGTTCATAATATTTGTTTATTTTAGTTTGTGGTCGATGAGGAGTTCAAGCCGAACACGATTTTGGAGCTCTACGGGGTTTTTGTCGATCCAGTGAAGGATGAGGAGGGGATCGAAGAGGAATGGTTCGAGATTTTACAAAGTTTTTTGTCAATATCTAAATGATCAGCCGAAAGTATCGAATTTGGTGCTTGTGCATAGTTTGGTCGCTAGTTTAACATTCGAGACATCATTTTGATCTGCAACATTTTAGAAAAACGTTTATGCCATTCAAATGCAAACTTGAAGACACATAAGATTTACACTCACCCAGAATTCAATCACGTTTTATTGCAAAATCATTAGTTGTGCTTTAGCCACAAGGAAACGATTCCTTGTTTCCATGTGATCACGCACAAGCAACCGGAAGTCGATCATCAGGAACCGAAAGAAATTGTGAGATCTAAGAATTCTTTTTGTTGTGACTGTTTATCTGCTGTGGCTTATCTACGATGGTTTTTTATTTAGACAATCAAAAAGCTGAACGAAGCTCTCACAACCTCACTTGGTGATCCGAATGCGGCCAACTTCTTGCTGATGAATTTGATTTCTACCACGTAAGGGAATTTTAAGTCTTTAAACCTAAATGAAGTCTAGTAAATATTGAGATGAATATTTTTTAGGTATTCCCGTCCGGCGGCCAGCTTGCCCATTTGCTCGTTCCCGTTGAATCTTTGTGGACTCGAAAATAGCAAGAGGATCGTCGAAATCATTACACAACTTTTGCCTAAGGTAGGTAATTGTGAAAATTGTAGTTGCTAATTTTACTTTTAGGTCCTACACGTAAAGTTAACACCGGAGCTCATCTCGGAGACTCCATTCGCGCCGATCAAAAACTACGAGACCGAAACACTGCGACAGGGATTACTTCAAGTGGCACCAGGTAGAAACTTGGCTATTTTCAATTATTATTCTGCAAACTTGAAAAATGAGGTTAAATAAAGCGACTTTAGTTAGAAATTGTACAACAGATCAAGTGTTTTTGTTTTGTTATGCTAGAAGCTGATATTTTTTTTCAAATGCATACAACGAGCAAGAAATACATTGCAAGACTGACATTTTTGTTCAAGTGTTCAAGCTTACAGTTCAGTTTAAACGCCGAATTAAACTTATCCTTTAGGCACTACGGTGATTTTCGATGAGACCTCGCTTCCAGAAGGCAATTTCCAGGTTACAAATTACGGTAAGTTTTGTTTCTACGACCTGTTTTTAAATTTTGTTCTTTTAGCGCCTGCCAATTGTTCAACGATGGAGCATGTTCTTCTCACACAACAAATTCGATACGACTTCGGATATTACCAGCTGCCATTCGATGTTGATACGCCAATCATTGTCATCAGCAAAGGAATTAGCCGATTTATTAAGGTATTCATTTGTCAAATCAATTTTAAAGAAAAAGAAAGCTACGGAGATCAGTATTAAAATTACAAGTCTCTATTTAATTTTTTAAAGTTTAAAATTTTATTTTTTCAGACTCCATGGCGAGTGGCGCTGCCTCCAGGGATCACCGGTTTACCCTCGACATCCGACGAACTCATCGACTTTCGCCAAACGATCCAAACCCTGAAGACAAAGCTCAAAGACATATCGATCAACATGGATGAGGCAAAGGTTTATTTTCTGCAAGTTTTTGTTTTAAATCTAAATTTAGGGAGTTCAAGAGGCTTTTGTCGAATTGGCCAAGACGCTCGACCCGAAAAAAGAAGACAAATCGCAAACTTTTCATCAGATGCTCATTCTTTGCAGGTTTGGAAAAATTTTGAGTCAAAATTTACGTAATTGGTGTAAAAGTTTGAGCAGGATTCGAATTGCAAACGTTTTGTATGAAGCCTTTTAGGTTGAAACATTAAAAAGTTTCACGTATTTTGCTGCTTTTTCATGGGTGGATTTTAAAAGGATAACCTTTGAAACATGGATAATATCTAAAGCATTAGACAAACTTTACTTTTAGATTGATTTCTGCCCTTCATGGAAAACCGTCCGTCGACTTGGAGAGTTGGAGAGAAGCGCGAAAATTTGAAAAGGAACGCCTCGAGACTCTAAACGAATGGGCAAAATCCGTCAATCTCATCGTCTGATTGCTACATTTTCACGTTTCAGGTTTTTTTTAAAATTACTGGTAGTTCTTTGTTTTGTCCATTATTTTAAGTTCATAATAATTTCTAAATCTTTTAAATTTCTTAGTATTCTAAGGCAAAAATGAATCTAGCAAGGGAAGGGCAGTCAAGCTGTCCTTTTGACTCGAGACCAAGTCCACCTTATCAAGTCGGTCATGGGGATCTCGAATCCGTTTTTAGTTTTTGCAGAACGCAAGATATCTATATTTTGGACTCCTTAAGAAGCCGCCACAAACTGCCTCACGAACTGCTTCGGTGATCTAGTGGATAGTCTGTTAGACTACCGGGCCTTGGGAATTTTTGTCCCGAAGTTCGCGTCCCATTCTCGTCAAACTTTTTTTGCTTTTTTAAAAAACTACTTCCTTACGTGTTTGCAATGAATAATAGTGTTGAATTTTATCCACCTGTTGTTTTCAGAAATTTGGCAACAAATGTTTTTTCAAAAGTTTTTCAATACTTATCTACTGATTCTGATACTATGAAAGGTTTTAGCTTTTGTAAATTATTTGTTGAAATTACAGAAAGCGGTGTATAAAACCCCGAGCCAATAATTCGATACAAATACGTGGGGAAATAGTTTTTTAAAAAAGCAAAAAAAGTTTGACGAGAGTGGGACTCGAACTTGAGGTTGTAAGTAGGTTGTAACTCGAAAATGTAATAGGTTATCGACTAGACCACTGAAGCAGATGTTAGGGAGGCGTGTGACAGCCTCATAAGGAGCTATATGATGGACTTGGTCTCGAATCAAAGGCCAGCTTGGCTCGGTGCTTTTCCTTGTAAGCTTTATCTTCTAGCTCATTTGTGATCTCAGCTTTTTTCGAATTCCTTTCTTCATATTTTCAAATTTTACGTGTTCTGTATAAATGTTCCAAAATTTTTCCATGAAACCCATCAATTTTCTGAAAAATTTATTGTTCAGAGCTGAAAATTTTTGAATGTTTTACGAGCCGACCAATAAAATCTAATTTGGGCTATCACACACGGCGAACAACAACCCGTAGCGAGAAAAAAAATTGAGTGAATCACATTTTTCGACATTTTTGCAAGTTTACTAAGCTATTCGGCTTTAGAGGTTGCTTTAGAAGGTTGCTTTAGAATTTCTGAACCATGGCGAATAGAGCAACGACTACTAGGAAGAACACCGAAAAAGGGGAATTCGCCGAGTTACACTTGTCCTTTTTGCAGCAGTAATGATGGAACTCGACACCGCCTTTATCCCAGGATTGGGCCTGAAAAATAGTGATTATTCTAGTATACTGTCGTGATAAAAGATATAAGATTGAAAAACTATGTAACTTCGAAATGAAATGCCGTTTACTTTTGATTTGATTTTGAAACGATTTATAACCTTTTTATGAGAAGGTTTGCTCACAAAAAGACATGAAGGCGAAAAAATTGTTGTCGCCTCAAATTTAACCCTATTCTAATCATATTTAAGTAGTGCAATTGTTTCGTGACGAGAATGGATTTGATTTTTTAATTTGCATGTTTCAAATTAAGGTTAATCTAAGTTCTATTTTTTTTTGCAATAATCGGCAATCTAATTTTTTTCCTCAGTTATCCCTCAACTAAAGCATTTTCTAAACCGTGTTCCTTTTCTTTTTCTGCCTTAATTGGGAGTGGGACAAATGCGACCTTTTTTTTGCGCACCCGGACATTTGCGCACCTTGCCCATTAGCGCACCTTTTTTCGCGTTTTAAGCTCTAAAAGCTCTAAAAAAGCTCTAAAAGGCTCATATTAACCAATTTCTATTCCAAAAGTTGTTTTTCTAGGTAATTTGATGGTGTCGAATTCAAATTTTGATATAGCAGAGCGTGTGGAACCAATTTGTGGAAGACAAAACGGCTAGATCAAATTACAGAAAATTGTCGATTTTTCTCTTTGTATAACTCCGTCCGTTTGTTTCCACAAGCTCTGTTATGTCAAAATTTCGATTATATGCCCTAAAATTACCTAGAAAAACAACATTTGGAATAGAAATTGTTTATTAGCTATATTAGCTTTTTAGAGCTTTTTTAAAACGCGAAAAAAGGTGCGCTAATGGGCAAGGTGCGGAAAAAAAGGTGCGCAAATGTCCGGGTGCGCAAAAAAAGGTAGCATTTGTCCCACTCCCGGTTTCTCTGATCTTTTTAAGCTTATTTTGAAATAATAGACTTTTAAGTAGATTTTTAGGGTAAATTTAAAAAATGGAGTTTCAAGTTTGCTTTTATTGCTTCGCTTTTGCTTGACGGCTAATCAAACCAGATCTCTTCGGCTGTTCATAAAAAATATCGAATAATAAAAATAAGTGTAGAATCGAAATTTTGACATATCAGAGCTTGTGGAAGCGAACGGACGGAGTTATACAAAGAGAAAAATCGACAATTTTCTGTAATTTGATCTAACCGTTTTGTCTTTCAAATTGGTTCCACAAGTTCTGATATGCCAAAATTTCGATTCTACGCCCTAAAATTACCTAGAAAAACAACTTTTGGAATAGAAATTGGTTAATATTAGCTTTTTAGAGCTTTTTTAGAGCTTTTAGAGCTTAAAACGCGAAAAAAGGTGCGCTAATGGACAAGGTGCGGAAAAAAAGGTGCGCAAATGTCCGGGTGCGCAAAAAAAAGGTCGCATTTGTCCCACTCCCCCTTAATCTTGTCTCTATTTTTTGTCCGATCTATTCACTTTTAGCATTCTGTAATGGTTCACAAAGGATATCGAAAGATACAAAAAGTGAGTAGATCGGATAAAAATAGAGACAAGATTACGGTAGAAAGAGAAAGGGAAGACGGCTTAGAAAATGCTTTAATTGAGATGGAACGGCTTACTTGACAACCCGCTTGACATCCCCACGTCGTCTGGTATACGGTAGCGTTTTTCCATGTTTCCTTGAAACAAAAGTCCGCCGTTGAGTTCGAGCAAGTTGTTCGATCATTCTGTAAAAAAAATCATCAATCGTTTTTTACTATTAAATCTCGTTTAAATCTGCAAGAAGGGTTGTAATTTAGCTCTAGAAGATTACTGTTGTTTTACTTGTTGAAGATTACTGTGAAAAAGTGTTGTATACTGTTCGAAAGCCCTAAATCTCCTCTACAAAATAGTGTAAAAAGATTTTGGATTGGATTGATGATTGAGGACTTTGGTGTTAAAAGGTAACCACAGGTCGAGTCTCAACCTGGGCACCTGCGTCTGCTGGCAACTATCGATTCCATGGATCTTTTCGCTTGAAATTTTTCCAGTATATTAAGAATATACATTATTCAATATTTATACTAAAATGCAAACGATCAGCTTGGATTTTATCTAGATAAGAGAATTCAAAGTTTAAGTTTTGGTACAAATATTGAAAGTAGCCGTTTTTTGACCTAAAATGGGTCTTTTTCGAAAAACAAAGATTTAGCGAAGACGAACAAACAAAAGGACTTCTTTTTTTCTCTTTTCTTTTATGTTATTTTGAAATAACTTTAATTAGCGGTATTTTCTGACGGAAAACCTGGGCATGACTATTACCAGAAACACATTTTCCAGAAAATGATAATTTTTAACCTTTCAACTTAAAAGTCACCCAAGTCCCCAATAATCAATCCAATCCAAAATCTTTTTACACTATTTTGTAGAGGAGATTTAGGGCTTTCGAACAGTATACAACACTTTTTCACAGTAATCTTCAACAAGTAAAACAACAGTAATCTTCTAGAGCTAAATTTTTGTTTTTCGAAAAAGCCAAAAACGGCTACTTTCAACTTTGGATTCTCTTATCTAGATAAAATCCAAGCTGATCGTTTGCATTTTAGTATAAATATTGAGTAATGTATATCCTTAATTTACTGGAAAAATTTCACGCGAAAAGATCCGTGGAATCGATAGTTGCCAGCAGGCGCAGGTGCCCAGGTCGAAATACTCACCGGTGGCCGATATCCATTGTTATTGATCGCCTCATAGCAAGTGATCGCCAACCCTGCCACAACAAACAACGAAACGATCACGAAAAACCTCATCTTGAAGAGCTGGGGAAACAGGTTTCTGAAACTGGGAAATAGACATGGGCACTATAAGCTACAAAAATGACGAACTATCACACTCAAAACGCTAACTGCTTCAAACTGCTTCTAGCTTGCTTCAAACTGCTACTAACTGCTTCTAGCTTGCTTCTAACTGCTTCAAACTGCTTCTAGCTTGCTTCAAACTGCTACTAACTGCTTCTAGCTTGCTTCTAACTGCTTCAAACTGCTTCTAGCTTGCTTCAAATCTGCCGGATTGACACGATCTATAGCTCAAAAAATCGAGAATCTCAATTCGAATGAACGAGAATTCGAATGAACTAAAGCACAACGAAAAATATGAATGCTAAAGAGAGTTACAGTGGTTTAAATGAAACGGACCGTACTCAAAAGATATAAAAGTCGAAGCTTGATGATTGGATTGATGATTGATCAGTCAGGCTACATTAAGTTAGAGATATCTATCAAAAAGTGTTCAAGTTTGAAACTCGAGTATTCTCAAGTTTTAATCTCAAATATAAATCATAGCTAGGCTTTTTTTAAAGAAGATTTGCTTAGGATCAAGTTTTCAGGAGGATTCTCAATTTGTAAATCCTTAAAGCCTAGCAATGAATTAAAAAGTAAAAGCAGAAAGAGAGCAATATACAGTACTGGACAATGAAATATGATATTTGAAAAAACGATCGTCACTTTCGCGCGTCTGTAACTCCCTTGTCTTTGAGTTTAAACTATTAGTGCTATACATTTTCTGAAAGCTCTTTTCAAGGGCTACACAATGGTAATATTAATATTTAGAAATACGGTAAAGACAAGGGAGTTACAGACGCGTGAAAGTGACGATCGTTTTTCAAATTTTCAAATATGATATTTCATTGTCCAGTAGTGTAGATCTCAATCTAGATTTCTCGGAAATCGGAAACTAATTCTAAGAAACGATTTACTGGCTAATTTCTTAATTTACTGGCTAATTTCTTTATTTACTGATAAATTTCGATTAATTTTCGATCAAAATTGAGTCAATCAAGGTCACTTATTCGTCAAAAGCTCTAAACTCAATTAAATTAAAGACAGTTTTCTAAAAGAAGCGCTAGACTAGAGAAAGATCTCAAATAAAAGCATGAAAATGATCTTAAACGTTTATAAAATTGATTAATTCGAAACCGGAGACCACTTTTTTTTTTTGCTAGTGCTTTTCTTTGCAAAAGTGGCTCCCTACTCGCGATTTTATGCGTTTTTTATAGATTTTGATAGGAATGAGAAGGGAGTCTTGTCCACGTTTTTTTTTGACTTCAAACCCCGATCAAGAATTTGAAATTTTAAAGGGATTCTTCGCTTAAAACGATTAAAGGAGGTTTTAAACGGTGTTTTAAAGGAGACGATTTTTGATTTCTGATTTCTTTTTGGAGAGTTTAATTAGAGTTTAGTTTAGAAAATAGAATTAGATGCTAAGTTGATTAAAGAAAATGTTGTTTGAAAAACTGAAATCTAAACGATGAATGAATTTGTTTCCTCAACAAGAATTTCCCTGTACCAACATTGTAAAAAGTGTAAATAATGTGAAAATAATTTATGTGAAAGCTTACATTTTTGTTTACAACAGAAATTTGTTCAAATTTTTCCTTTATACGTTAAAAGAGAGGCGATAAACTTTTGAGTAAGTAACTCGACAAGTTTCCCAAGCCCGATTTTGCGGTGACATAGCTAAAATTCGTTTTGTTTTCGCTTTCGCTGTTTTGTTCATTCTATGGATGCTATTTTAGTGTCTGGTTTTAGCGTTTCAAGTTGAATCAGATTAAAATCGATGTTCAATCAAATCATTCTGGGTTGGTTGATTCGTAATGGATCAGGGTCGATTCAGGGTTGATTCAGGGTCGATTCGGGGTTGATTCAGGGTCGATTCGGGGTTACTTCGGAGTCGATTCCGGGTTACTTCGGGGTCGATTCAGGGCCGATTCAGGGCCGATTCGGGGTTAATTCGGGGCCGATTCAGGGCCGATTCGGGGTTGATTCGGGGTTGATTCCGGGTCGATTCGGGGTTACTTCGGAGTCGATTCCGGGTTACTTCGGGGTCGATTCAGGGCCGATTCAGGGCCGATTCGGGGTTGATTCCGGGTCGATTCGGGGCCGATTCGGGGTTGATTCCGGGTCGATTGGGGATTGATACTTTCAAAGCACTAGAACGAAATTTTTAGAAAAAAAAAGAGCAAGAGAAGGATTATTTCTATTATCAGAGCTTTACATAACTAAATTTGAAACATCCTTTTTTTCACTGACCTTTGTGAAATTGCTTTTTATCAATCATTCAATAAACTTCAAAAGCCAAATCATTGCCTCATTGCCTATTTTTTTGATACCTAAGCGCACATTGTAGAATAAACCAGTGTCGAGAAAAACTCGTTCAAAACTAAACTACGCAACACTCCACACCGTCATTATGGGGCTGGGGCACTATTAGCTTATAAATAATGCTATAAAGCTTATAAATTTGAAAGAATATTATTGTTTTTGCCTATATTAGTATTAGTTTTTTAGTTTTCCCAAAAAAAGAAAACGTTTGTTGTCTAATCTTTCTATCGTCAGAGCTTCTTTGACTGGACTTTCACTTTACAATACTTTCAAATACCGTAATCTTTTTTATTAGAAGTTTATTTGATACTAGAATTTAAGAATTTATGTAAAGAAAAATAGATTGATTAGAAATTGTTCAGTTTTTACTTTCACAAAAAGCTTGTTTCAAATTCGTTAAGCTTTAGTGTCAATTGACTGGCCTAATTTTGTTTTCCTTACGTTTCAAAGCCCTTTTCTAAGAAAAAAATGTACGGTATTTTCCCTATGAATATATGAAAGTGTGAGACTCAAAAATGGAGATGTCCCAGTTTGAGCATTTGAGCACTTTCTTCAAAGGAAACCCATTTTGGTATCAATAGAAAAGTTGTAGAGAATCAAAAATTAGACTTATAGCCAAATTTCCAAAAAGATACACTTAGTAGTTTCGTTTAGAATGCAAGTTTTGTGAAAATTTGGCATTTCTTTTGTGTAAATTTGGCATTTCTTGAAAACCAGTTTTTGAATCGTTCTGAAAATTTGGATATAAGCTTGATTTTTGATTCTCTACAACTTTTCCATTGACACCAAAATGGGTTTCTTTTGAAGAAAGTGCTCAAACTGTCACATATGACAATAGCCCGCGGTTTTCAATTCATCAACCCAATATTTAACTTGAAACATGATTTGCTAACCATTGCTCAACTAGTAACAGGCGAGCTTTTACATTATAAATTCGAATTTGATAATTTTAATAGCATATTGTAGATGATTTCGTTGAATAACTGTGTAAGACACATTTCGAGTCCCGATAAAGATTTGCTTGCTTTTATGGATTTGCTTGCAATAAACGACCACCAACCCAAACATTTGCATTTTAAAAAGTTTGCTTATGCATAGGGTTACGGTAGCTTATATTCGGCGCGCTCTTTTTAGAAAACGCGTTGTCTGTAAGTAACATACTCGAGTTGAAAGCGAGGTTGAACGATTGAATGTTTGATTGAAACGATTGAATCGAAAGTCGATTGAATTGAAATTCGAAAAACAAACAGTGGTTTCGATATCAGATAAAACCTCGAAATCTTTGCATAAAACCCTTGAATTTGAGTGCATTTTTTACGAATAGCAGACGAGATTTGGTTCGATTAGCCGTCAAGCAAAAGTGAAGCAATAAAAGCAAACTTGAAACTCCATTTTTTAACTTTACCCTAAAAATCTACTAATAATCCTAAAAATCTACCTAAAATCTATAAAAGTCTATTATTTCAAAATAAGCTTAAAAAGATCAGAGAAATCGACTTGAAATTTGAGATTTTAACCTTTAAAAGCAAAGATTTTATGGATTTTTCGAGAAACAAGGACTATTGAAAGCGGCAAAGATTTGATTGGGCAAAAATTGAAACAAAAAGTTTTTTGATAAATCAAACAAACAAAAAAATCAATTTAAAACGATACTGATGCTTTAAAGCAATGAATTATTATTATTATTCAAAAGTTATTGCCCATTATCTCTAGAAACAATGAGAAATCTGTTTTGAATGATTAATTTGTCAAACAAAAGCTTTATCAGCACGAAATTAGTCTAAAATCGGTGACGATTTGAAAACAAAACAAAATTTCGCAAAAAATCTTTTGTTTTGCAATTTTTATCTTTCTTTTTGGGTATTTGGAAGTTAAAAATATACTTTGAAAAATTTCGGTTTCAATCTAACACAAGATAAAAGCTGTTAGCAGTGATTAGTGCCAGCAAATTTAATGATTGAGTTTACGAGGACTTTCAAAAACTTACTAAGTGCTGCTAATTTGTGTTTTTTGCACTATCTTCTAGTGTTTTTTTATGAAATGTCGAAGTTAATGAAACATCATGTTTCAATATTGATCGATTTTACGGCAATAGCAAAAGATTAATAGAATAGTTGTCATTTTCTTTGCCTATTTACTTTTTTGACATGCTAATTTTTTTAAATGTGGGAGTATAACGGGATTGATGCTGTGGGGGTATAACAGGATTGATGCGTGTGAGGGTATAACAGGATTGATGCTGTGGGAGTATAACGGGATTGATGCTGTGGGGTATAACGGAAAAGTACCTTTTTTATAGTACAAAAACAAAATCCATGTTTCAACTTTGAACAAGTTTGGTGTAAAAAGCCACTTCTAATTAAAGCCCTGTTCATCAGCTTATCGGGAAAAGCATTTCAGCATTTCAAAATTTCATTTCAAAAACTTTATTCGTTTTTCTTTTGATCCTTTGATAATTTGAAAAAAAACTTTAAAACCTTGCTATTGTTAATTTAAATTAACAATAGCAGGCTTTAAAGTCAATTTTTTTCTTCATTTGATTTGACAATTAACGACCGGACTTCTGGAGTTGCATAAAACCTAGAAAAACTATTTCTTTGTTTTTAAAATTAAATCACGATCCCTTGATTTCAATTGATCGCCTTTGAAAC